CGCTTTATTTATAGTTAAGTTTTTTATATTATTATAAATAAATTATATTATAAGTAGTAAAGCTATTTAATTATTTTAATTAGCGTTAATATAGTAACGAAAGTATTATTTAAGGGTTTTATTTACTATTTCTATTTACCTATCTATTTATAGGTAAAAAGCTATAAAAAGCCTACGTTTAACTTTATTATAATAATATAAGTTTAATTATATTTAATTAATAAATAATAGGCCTTTATTATTTATAATCCCTTATAGGGAGCTATATATTAGTTTTATTTTATTATAAAATAGTTCTATTAGATCTATTATAGTTATTATTATATTAACGGTAAAGAATAAGTAATATTTAGTAAATCGGTCTATAATTACTAGGATTTTATTATAAATTTAGTTTTTATTTTATAAAAGAGGTAAACTTATAATTATATTTATTAAAACCTCTTTAAATAGTTTATTAAGAATAGGTAAAGGTTATAATTATTTATAAAGCTTATATCGTTTAGTTTTAGTAAAATAATAAACTTTATATTTATTAATATATTTATTTATATCTTAGTTAAGATTTATTTATTAGAACTTTTCTATTATAAGTTCTATAGTTTTATCTTTTTTAAAATAATTTATTAAAGGATCGTCGTAATAAAAGGATTTAATTTTAATTTTTAACGACGCCTCTTTAAAAATAAATAGTTTATTTTTATAGTATAATACGTTTTTTTTAATACTCTATTTTAATAAACCTTGGCCTAGCTTAGTTCGGGCTTTAGTCTTTTTATAAAAAAAGTTTTTACTTTATAAATTTAAGATAGTTTTTTATAATATTTTATTTAGGTTAATTTTATAAACCCTCTCTTTTTTAAAGGCTTTTTTTATTTAACTACGCGTTAAGGTTTATATTTAAACCCCCTAAACTCTAGACTACTATATTTAGTATTTTTAAAGGGAATATACTTTTTTAATTATATTTAATAAAAGGCTAGGGTCTAGTACTATATTATTATAGTAATCTAGCCTTTTAAAGGGCCTATTAATAGGGTTTTATTTTTTTAGTTTATATTTAATAACGAAGTTATAAAGGGTAAAGTATATATATTATTTTATTTATTTCTTTATAATACGGGTTTAGTTTATAAATAAACTAAGGTTTTAATAATTAATTAAAACCTTTATAAAAGTCGTAGACCTTTCTATATAATATTACTAGGTTTTAAAGGATTTTATAATAGCGTATATCTCTTAGTTTAGGGTACCCTAATTAAGCTTAGTACTTTTAAACTTTTATAATTAAAAGGCTATAGAGTACTATTAATTATCTATATATTTTTAAAAAAGAATCCTAGATATAGTATAATTTAAAGTATTTATTTTAATTTTAATAAGCAATTTATTAAAAAAATGCTTTAAAAAAGGGGCCGATTAAAAGGTTTATTATAGGATTTTAAAAGCTAAAATAGCGCTACGATTTAAATATACCTCTTTAGGTTTTTTTTTATTTTTATTTTTTTTAAGTAAATCTATAAGTAGTTTAATAATCTTAGGGTATTTATAGATAAACCTTTAATAGAAGTTATAAAACCCGAGGAAGACCTAGACTTTTTTAAAGGTAATAAATAAAGGCTATTTCGAAATAGTTTTTATTTTATTAAGAGCTATAGAGACCTTTTTAATAAATAAAATAAACTTTAAAAACTTAACCTCTTTTTAATAAAAGGTATATTTAAAAAGGTTAGTATATAGCTACGCCTTTTATAGCCTATTTATAATTTATAAAAAGTACTTAATATAGGTTATTCTATTTTTAAAAAAGATTAGGATATTATCTAAATAAATAATATAGAAGTTATTTATAATTCTTTTAAATGTAATATTAATATAGTTTTGGAAAGTTATTAGAGTATTAATAAGGCTAAAGGGTATTATTAAATACTTATATAGACTATATTAAATATAAAAAGCTATTTTCTATTTATCCCCTTTATAAATACGTATTTAATAATAAGCTTTTTTAAAGTCGAGTTTAAAGAAATACTAAAAGCTAGTAATTCGGTTTAGGATTTTAAATATAAATAAAAGAGAGTAGCGGTTTTTAATAATAACTCGATTTAATCCTTTATAGTTAATATATAGATAGAGACTCCCGTTTTTTTTTAAAATAAAGATAATAGGTACTTTTATAAAGCTTTTAAAAAAATAAATCCTTCTTTTTTTTTAGCTCTATATTAATATAATTATAAAAGGTTTATAACTCTTTAAAAAAAAGTAAGTAAATAGGCTTTTAAAGAGGTTCTTTACTTTTTATTATTTTAATTTAATAATTAATAGACTTAAATAGAGCCAGTATTATAGCCTTTTTTATATTAAAAATATCCCGAGTAAAGATTAACTTTAACGGGAGTTCTATAATATTATAAAAAGAACCTTTATTTTTATTAAATAAAAGGAGGGTTTTAAATAGGGTAATAATAATATATATATATATAGTTTATTAAGCCTTTTTAATAAAGTAAAAAGGGTAGAGGGCCTTTTATTATTTTTAAAAGATCTCGAACTATTAATAATGCTAAGATCTTTTAAAATAGATATTTAAATCCTTAATAATAATTATTAAAAAGAGAATAGAATTATTATTTAAACGAGGGTCTTGGTTAACGGCAATATAAGCTTAGATAAAGGTTTTAATAATCCTTTTTAAATTAATAAATAATATAAAGATATTCTAGACTTTATAAATAAAGATTTTTAATTACTCTATAGCTTCTAAAATTAGGGCTATAAGTTTTATTTAATTAAAGCTAAATTACTATATAAAAGTAAAAAAAACTAAATTATATTTAATAGCGGTATTTAAATTATAAAAAGTAAATAAATCTTTTTATAAACTTTTTATCAAAGTAGGGATATAAAAACGCTAATTTATTTTTAAAATAAGAAAAGAGAAAAATAGGGGATTTTTTTTTTTTAAAAGGATTTTAAATACTCTATATAGCAGAAGAACTTTTTTTTTTTAATAATCCTTACCTTTATCTAGATAAATATTTATTAAATATTTAGTATTATTATAAATATAGTAGCGAAGAGGTTTTTTATTTTTATTAAATCGTATTTATAGTTTTTTATTTATAGAATAAAAAGAAAAAGCTTATTTAGAGCTATAGGAAAAGGAGGGCTTTTTTTTAGCTTTTTTTTAGCGCTTTTTATTTAAACCCTTTTCGTTTTTATAATAATTATTTTTCTTTTTTTTATCCCTTTTTATAACCTATTATATTTAGTTTATAACTACTATTATTTTAGTACGGGTTTTAAAAAGAGTAAAATTAAATTTATAAATACTTTATTATAGTTTTTTTAATAGTTTAGTATAAAAAAAAAGGTATGTTCTTTTTTAAGTAAGGTAATAAATTCCTTTTTTAAAGACTTTAAATAGGTATTAAAGTTTAAAAGGCTTTAGTTATCCTTTTAGCGAGCCGAAATAATATTTTATATAATTTTAAGCTCCCTATAAATAACGTCTTTTAATAAAGTATAAATCTATTTTAAAAAGTAATTAAAATTTAAAGTATTTTTAATACGAATATTAAGTAATTTATTATAATATTAAGATTATTTCGCTTAGTAATTAATATTTATATAATTAAAAAAGAAAATAATTTTAATATAGTTAAATCGAAATCTTTACGGCGCGCTTAGAAAAGCGTAATTAATATTTAAGATTTATTTATTATAATATTTAAATATAGCTTTTTTAATAAAGGTTTAAATATTTTTAATTTTAATATTTTTATTATTAAAAAGAAAATAAAAATTAAAATAATAGTAGCGATCGAGTATTTTAATAATTTATTTAGTAAAGGAGTTTTACTAAGTTATAATATATCTTTATTATTCTAGGGCTTTTTTTAATTAAGTAATTCTATTTTAAAGAGCTTTTTAAACTATTAAAATAGTATTTAAAGGGATAGTTCTAAAGTTAGCGGTATTATAACTAAGATTAATTTAGTTATTACTAGGATTATTAAAAGGCCCCGAGCTTTTATTTTTTAAAAGTCTATTATTTACGTTAAATACTATTTTATTAATAGTTATATAAATAAAAGATTTAGAATTATAATAGAATAAAGTTAATTAAGAATAAAAAAGGTATTTATTCTATAAATAAGTCCTATAATATATAGAAACTAAATCTTAGCCTATTTTTTATAGGCAAGAAGCTAGTTAAAAGGTGCCCCTATTTTATAAAATAGTAGCTGAGTTAACTATAGTGCGCAGCGCTATAATTGCTTTATAATAAGGGGGGTAAGCTTATTAAAAAGTATCGTTAGCCCGCTAATTATTAACTATATATTAAATATAAAATAAGTCTTATTAATATAATTTATATATTAATAAGTTCGTTTAATATATTTATTTAATAGTTTATTAAATTTAAATAGAGTTTATAAATAATATAAAAAGTAATTAAAATAAAAAGAATTTTTATAAACTTTAGTATAAGTAGTTAAATATTGGCCCTTTTAGCTCTTTTTTTTAAAAACCTTTATATTATTATTAAAGTTTAGAACTTTTATAATTAAAAAAAGCTATCTCTAACTTTTACGGCCGAATTTCATACTTAAGCTTTTTAGTTATTACTATTTTATAAATATATCGCTTAGTTTATTATTAATAAATAGCTAAAAAGGTAGCTTATTTATCCTAAATTATATAATAGTTTTTATATCGAAATTACTATATTAAATTAAGTATATATTTAAGGTATATTATATATATTATATAATTAAAAAGTATACTATATTATATAATTCTTTTTAAAAGCCTCATTTCATTATAATCGATCTTTTATATTTATAAAGCTAGAAAAAAACTATTATATAATATATAACACGGCCCTCGCGGATTACTTTATCGGGGGAATTTATTTATTTATAATTATAAAGTTTATAAAGATTTAATAAGCACCTCGCTATATATATATATATATATATGTTATGTAATATTGATTACTTAATAATTTAACTTCTTTTATTAAGAAAATTAATAAAAATAATTCTAGTATTTTCTTCTAGACTATTTATTACTACTTATGCTGCTTGGCCTTGTAAAACCTTCTGCCTTAGTACTATTATTTGCACATCACTTGTTAGTACATCCTAAACCACGTCCATTGCCCAGCCATAATTCTTAGGGATATATGGAACTTACCATCTTCAACACTGCGCACATTGAGCGTTTTCCGCTGCACGATCACCTCCAGGTCCTGAATATTATTCATCAAATTCTGAACCTTGGCCTCGTAGAAACGTTCGGCAGACTCGGTATCCTGCGCAAGCGTTAACACACACAATGGTCAGAGGTCAGTCACACAGACCCCGGGGCTTGATAAACATGCCTTCTCGACGTAGAATCCTGTGCCTACGTCGACGATGACGTGTTTTGGATCCGAAAGCTCTCCACGTACGTAGAGGGAGTTGGTTAACGGCACCAGGACAGACTTGTCGCCTAGACAAATGTTAAGTTCGCTGGCCACCGATGAGATGGGAAAGTAGGGCGCCTGCATACCATCTCCAGCACCGGGTCTGGCCTTGACACACCGGAGGCACTCCTTGAACCTGGATTGCGCGCTGTGGAGCTGGGCGAACGAGTTTGTCAAGTGCTCGAGTTCTTCTTCCAACTGCTTCTTGACCTGACTGAGTTGCTGGGTGTCCAGCGTCTCCAGATTGACTATAGAGCTGAGTCAGCACGGAAATCGAAGACGCATACCTGATCTCAAGGACGAGATGGCGGAATCTCAACCGGAAATACTCACTACTCTCGGAATTCTGAGCGGCCATGGTTGACTGAACCGGCCTGCGGGCGAACAAAGTTGTCGGGATAGATGACCGAGGTGAGTCTGAGTCTTTGCTTAGTACTAACCCCAGAGCGACGGTGAAAGCCCACGTCGAACAAAAGGCAAAAAGCCAAACGGCGGATTGCTGAAGTGATTGAGATCTGGTGCTGTGTCAACCTCTGTGGAAGCTGAGGGAGGTTTGAAGCACGGCCTGATCAATTGATTGTCGTCCATTGACACCACTCCTTCCCATATTATTGACACCCGTTGTCGCACTTCTCGGGCAGTGGCTATACACGTGACCGCCCCACACCCGCAGAACACGCCTGGGCAGGCCGCCATCGCATGTCACCCACCTCACGACGAGTTTGGTAAGATACATAGACGAGAATGGTTGCTGTGGTCTCTAATGTTCCAACAGCAATGGAAACGCACGCCTTCTGGTCGTGACATCAAAGTGAACTACTGCAGGCGTTTTCCTATCTTTACAATGGTATTACATCTGATTTGTATATACATGACTGTCTTGTACACGCCGCGTCGCGGGCGTCTCGCCGATGCCCCAGCGATCTTCATTCTGCTCAGAGCTGTTCGAGCAACCCTGCCACACGCTGGCGTAGCTCTCTAAGCGGAACCATTTCTTTGATCCCGAGTCTGCGGCACTGGACCTCACAGTCACCCGTCTCCTTCCATACTCTACCCAGTATGACTAGGACTGGATAACCTACCAAGTCTGCGTCATTCAGCTTCCAACCGAAGGATGCCGACCTGTCATCCAGCACCGTGTCAATGGCCCCTTTGGCGATCTCATCATACACTTGACTAGCATCTTCAGCTAGATTAGGAGGGGAAATCACCACGACTTCGTAAGGAGCAATCACGCGCGGCCATTGTAGGCCCTTGGTGTCCGTTAGATGCTCAGCTACGGCCCCTATGAGTCGGGAGACGCCAATTCCATGGCACCCCATCTGCATAGGCGTCTTTTGCTCGGTTAAAGCTGGCTGGCCATCGCGCTGGCTTGATTTGGCACGAGTTGGTATGGACACTGTTGCTTCGAGTGGCTCCGAGTATCGCGTTCCTAGGTAGAAAGTGTGCCCGAGCTCTAGCGCCTTCTGCAGCTGGAGAATGCCATTGTCGCAGCAAGGACATTTGTCGCCATCGCGAGCGGCAAGCAGGTTGATTGATTGTCCACCTTGAGTTCTGGTAATGGTGGTCGAGTCTACTCTGTCCTCGGGAACATCCAAGCCCGACAAAGGCGATGATTTGCTTTCTTCTCGTAGAACCTCTTCCAGGTTGCTGGTCAATGTGGAGTGTATGATGTTGATGATATGGGCCCGGGTGGCCGCAGTGTTCGTGCTGGAACTCGCTGATGTAGTAGCTGTCCGCCACAGTGATATGGCATTCTCAGTGCTTGCGTCCAGATCAGCGACAATCGTCTTGATGGCCGAGATTCTGAGATCGGTCTCTCGGTCAGATTCATCCTGGGCCCGGCCTGGATACCAAGCATTCACCAAGGTCTTGCGGTCTTTACTGATGCCTCGCCACACCCTTATTGGAGCAGATGCAGGACTTGAGGCTTCAGTCAGACCGCATGGTCCTGTGCTGCCGACGGCGGCTGCCCTTGTCTCGGCGACCTCGGCGTTAGCAGCGTAGTTACAAGTGTTGCAGGTGACCAGAGTGTCCTCCCCAATTGTGGTGGGCAAGTGATACTCATGGCTCAGATCACCTCCCATGTCGCCGGAGCTCGCTTTGGCTACTATCACCGGCAGCTTCAATGCTTTGAAAACGCCAGTGTATGCCGACTGGACCTTCTGATAGGTCTCCAAGGCCGAATCCGCGGAGACGTCAAAGGTATAGAGGTCCTTCATGGTGAACTCGCGGGTTCTTAGTAGTCCATGGCGCGGGCGCAGTTCGTCACGAAATTTGCGCGCTAATGATTTCAGCATCAGTTATTGGGCTGCTGACGAGGCTTGTGAAGTTGCTGGTCTTACTGATTTGATAGAGGCGAAGGGGCAATTCTTTGTAGGACTTCACAGTCTTTGCCACTAGAGTAGTAATCTCTTCCTCGTGGGTGGGCGACAACATGTATTTGGATCCTTTGCGGTCCTCGAAGCCAAACAGCTTTGCAAGTCAGCCGTGGTATTGGTTTTTTTTTTGGGAAAGCATGATCGGACCTCAGCCTCTAGTTGTGTGAGACGGCCACTCCTCTGCCAGAGGTCCTTGGACGTAATGGTTGACAGAGCTACTCTCGAGGCCCCTGTAGCAGACGTCAGTGAATGACAGCGGCCTGCAGCCGAAGTGTACAAACAACTAACCGAGTTCTTGCATGTAGTAGTCAATGACGCCCTCAAGCTTACGTTGGACACGCTGGCCAAGAGGAAGCAGATGGAAAATGCCAGCATGTGACTGAAATATGAGGAATGAGCAAAATCTCCCATCTTAATGCCCCTTCGCCGAACAACCTACCTGTCGCAAGAATCCGGCGCGAACAAGCTTTTCACAGGCGCCTGAGTATCTAAGATGAGTATGCTGGCAATCGAGATGGGCAGCATGCGGTAGACCTACCTTCGCCTCGTTCAGGTGTCATTCCTCCGGTAGGGACCCAAACAGTTGACAGTCGATTCCTGGCGCTACCAGCGCGGTAGCTGCGGCTGAATGACTGGTGACATGTAAGCGATGTTGTATGAGCTTATGAGTCCAAAGGCATATGTGTGTACCTACCTGGCTACTGCCATTGAATGTTAAGTTGCCATAGCTTGCCTTCGTGCTATGAGACGTCGATAAGATAGCGAGTCTCCTGGCGAAACTGAAGGACATATTGGCGTCAAAAGTGAGTACACCAGCTGATGAGGTAACTCTGTAGCAGGTTCGCTGACCAATACTCGTAAGTGAGATACTGCTTCAGCAACGATGACCAATATCTTCACCTTAATAGCATCCACCAAGATGGGATGATAGTGGTGGTTGGTCAATCGTTCAACGAGCTGGTCGCTTGGGGACTTGTCAATCGGAAATCAGCTAATGGCACACGCCGACAGTGGACAATTAATGAGTGAAACTGGCGCGAAGACAAGATGCAATCTCGTCAGGGTCACAAGGGTTCGTGAGGCCAGGTGAGGGAGGCTGCGTCAAATTTTGTTCGACTGCAATCTTGGATCGCTTGGATGAGAGAGCTATTAGCGACAATTTGGCTTACCTAGGTTGACGAGGTCAGATGGATGCGCGACCCGAATTCATAGCATTGATTAATACCTTACTCCGAAATACCTTGGATACTCCGAATTGGAGATGACAATACAGATAGGTAACATTCACTTGGGTTCACCGTTCCATTTGAGGTATTCATAGACTGGGAGGCTCGACCACGACCTCAACCACCTCACGTTGCCATCCCTGCTTATCGATAAGAAACACGTGCCCCACTCCTGGCGCTCAATTGCCTTTTTTTTTTGCGACACTCTTTCTTCTCTGCATTGCAAGTTCTGCTTCTTGTACATTTTGGCGCAATAGGTACAGAGGATTTCTCTCACCTTCACACGGTTCGTTATTCTGTTACTCATTCACTTGTTCAGGACTCTGCCTCTTCCTTTGGCTACAGTCGTAATCAGAAATACGTGATGGGCAAGCCAAAGAGGCAACCTGCCGGCAAGGCTCGACAGCCAGCGTCCTTGAATCCGCAGTCATTTTCGAATCTCACAGCCAAGATCGAGGGAAAACTAGGCAAAGCTACCAAAGACAACTCAACCGACAACAAGAAGCGCAAACATATCGACGAGCAATTGGAGAGCTCGCACCAACGGAAAAAGCACGCCCATCGTCGCGACAAGTCCACGAGCGGGCGTGACGGGATTACGACTGAGGTGAAGGGCAAGAAGGGCGCGCCCCTCAACCGCGAGGATCTTCTAGAGGAGATCAGGGCCTTGGGAGGAGACGAAGAGGACCTGAAGCTCATTGGAGACATTGATTCGGACGACGAAGACGCCACTGGGGAAGCCAACTCCGTCGCTACTGTTGACGGAAAACTTCAGAATGAGCTTGCTGCTTTCGCAGCTCAGCTAGGCCTCCAACGACATCATGAAGCAGCAACAGCCCAGGATGCAGAAGAATTCCCGGAGGAGGAGGAGGAGGGGGAGGAGGAGACAGAGGAGCATGAAGTGAGCGAGGCAGACGAAGTTGGTGAAGGCGATGACCAGTCAGCCCAGGAAGACACAGCTTCCGAGGTCCATGCACCGCAACAACTTCCCCGTAAGGATGTCAAAGATACGTTCAAGAAGCAGTTCGTGAGCAGCCACCTGACCCAAATTCTTGTCAAATTCATGCATATGCTGACCCATGCACGCCAGAAATTCGAACCTCGTGCTGATTGGCACGGCGCGGAACTGAGCCAGCTCCCAGACCCTACGTCTCCCGAAGTGAATGGTTTCCTTGGCGCCATCAATGCTCTCAGAGCTCATGCAGTCACTCTTCTGGAGGCGGACGCGGCAGCGTACAACAAGAGCGTTTTGGCATCATCCTCTCGAAAGTTCCTCTCCACCATCATGTCTTCCGGAACGCTCTCCGACAAAGTTTCTGCTCTCACCTTGGCAATTCAAGAATCACCGCTGCACAACGTCAAGGCTTTTGAGTCACTCCTAGGCCTTGCATCCAAAAGGAGTCGTGCTCAGGCCATTGGTGCTCTTGGTGCTCTGGTCGATCTCCTCGGTCCAGGCCTAGTTCTACCCCCTAATAGGAGACTGCGCGCCTTTCAGACTCAACCTGGTCTCATTGGAGCTCTACAGCGATCCTCTGTCAAGAATTGGAACTCTAGCCAAGCCTTACCGGGTCGCTTAACGGATGCACACCTCATCCAGTGGGCTTACGAGGACTGGCTCAAGACATCATACTTCAAGATCATCCAGCTCCTTGAGGTCTGGTGCAATGATGAGATTGAATACTCTCGCACCCGTTCTATCGACTTTGTCTACGGCCTGCTCAAGGACAAGCCCGAGCAAGAGACCAATTTGCTCAGGTTGTTGGTTAACAAGATGGGCGACAAGGACCGCAAGATTGCCTCGAGAGTTTCCTACCTTCTTCTCCAGCTCCAGAACACCCACCCCGGAATGAAGCAGGTTGTGATCAAGGGCATAGAGCAGGAAGTTCTACTCCGACCAGGCCAAACCTTCAGGGCTAAGTACCACGCCACGAACACTCTGAATCAGACGATACTGAGCAACCGCGAAGGTGGCACGGCAGAGGCACTGCTCCGCATTTATTTTGAGATTTTCGTTACTCTTCTCAACAGTTCCGCACTTGGCAAAGCACCTGCTGAAAGTCAACAGGATCGTTCTTCCAAGGAGACTGGCGTTACAACGGAGACAGCCGATAAGCTGGTCACCGCAGTATTGACAGGTATCAACCGCGCTGTGCCGTTCGTAGCCGAACATGACCCCATGTAAGCATATCTTTTCCAATGGTTTCTGTGCTTCCGAATATTCAAAACAGCTGACACTCGCACGCAGCCTCGAATCCCAAATGGACACCCTTTTCCGCATTGCGCACTCAACGAACTTCAACACGAGCATTCAGGCGCTGATTCTCATCCAGCAAATATCCGTGTCAAGACACTTGGCTTCCGATAGATTCTACAGAACGTTGTACGAATCCTTGTTGGATCCGCGACTTGCCAACTCCTCTAAACAAGCCCTTTACCTGAACCTGATTCTGAAGTCTCTCAAGGCCGATGTTGACACGAGGCGAATCAAGGCCTTTGCGAAGAGAATGTTGCAGATTCTCAACTTGCACCAGCCTGCTTTCGTCTGTGGCTTGATATATGTGGTGTTCCAACTGCGGACCCAGTTCCCCGACCTTAGAGCACTTCTTGAAGAACCAGAGGATAACGACACAGAAGAGGCCACTAGCCAGCCCTCGGCAGAGGATCAGAACACATCTGTGTCTAGAGGAAGTGTGTACGACGGCCGCAAAAGAAACCCAGAGCATAGCAATGCTCAAAACAGCTGTCTCTGGGAAATTGTAAGCGTGTATCTGTGTTTTGATTCACGAGACTCCAGCCGCTAATGAATCCAGATACCACCCCTCACTCACTTCCACCCGTCCGTGTCTCTACTAGCCGCAAGTCTGTTCTCAAATGAGAAGCAGATGGCCAAGCCTGACTTGGAGAGCCATAGCTTGATCAGATTCCTCGACAAATTTGTGTACCGCAGCCCGAAGGCGGCAGAGACTGCCAGGGGAGCATCAATCATGCAGCCGGTCCGCAATCCCGATTCTGGTAGCATCTGGCTCGCGAAGAGAACTGGCTCAGGCGCAGCTGCGCCAATTAACACGCCTAAATTCTGGAACAAGAAGGTAGACCAGGTCGCAGCGGAGGATATCTTCTTCCACGAATACTTCAAGCAAGCGGGCAAGAAGGTCGAGGGTGGTAAGAAGATCACTGAACAATCGTCATCTGGACAAGACGAGGTCAGTGTCGAGGACGACGCCGAGCAAGAGGATGAGATCTGGAAGGCCCTGACTGCCTCGCATCCCGATGGTCCAATCGAGAGTGACGATGACGACCTTGACATGGATGGATTCGACGACAGCGATGAAGAGTCTGATGGCGGCGTCGTTTTCTCTGACGGCTCCGACGCCGAACTTTCGGATGGTGACGAAGATGACGAAGACGACAAAGATGCTAGCGAGCTTCATGGCGAGGAAGGAGACGACGATGAGGCGATGGAGGATGAGGAGAGCCCTGAGTTATCTGCAGTACCTGGAGAGGCCGAGGAAACTAGCCAGAAGAGCAAGAGCGCCGCCCGATCATCCAGGAGGAAACTCAAGGACTTGCCTATGTTTGCGTCGGCAGATGATTATGCCGAGCTCTTGGCGGCAGAGGAAGAGGACATGTAATCGGACCAAGAAATTCTCAATAGACATAATATTGTACGTCTGGGCTAAAGAAGCCCATGAGATGAGAACTCCTAACCAACTTGCTCTCGGCCCATCCCATATCTATGTATCAAACCACTCAAGGTCGTCATCTTTAGTGAATATGGCTCTGTACGTCTTGTCCCCGTCCGAATGATCAGTCTCTTCGGTGTGAATGCTGTGAAGCTTTGGCGACTCAGCTCCGGGCACAAAGGCGCGGAAGTGAATATAGGCAGGCCCCGACTCAGGTAGTGCTGGGATTCGGACCTTGCCAAAAAGGTGAATTCCGTAAGCCGAACTGGCAACTCTTACGGCCACGAAGTTGTCCGGGCCAAAAGCGGCTAGTTGGTGGTCGTCGAGGTGTTCCTAGGATCTGTCTGAGCGGACGCGATGGTAAGCCGGGATAAAATGACAATTGACTTACAACGGCCTGAAAGTACTCGGGCTCGTGCTCTGGTGATTAGGTGTCAGTCCATGGCTTGTTTGCGGTGGAGAATGTGACTTACTTTGATGTTCACGTCGGATGTGGAGAAGTTCTCTTTTGAGATCGTGTGCAATCTCTTGGAACACCTTTATGGACTCTTCTTTAGGCGCGTGCACAGCACCCAGATCTACGGTTTCTGCCGTGGCCTAGAATGGACAGAGCACGGTGATAGGTCAGCCGGTGTCAAAAAGACAGTAGGTCGCTTGCATATTCGGCATGCGAAGAAACATGAAAAGGCAATACCATTGTGTATGTTGTTGCTGTATCTTTCTGCCGAACTACTAGCAGCTGTTAAGTGATGAGAGTTGTTAGATGGGACGAGTATGAGATGAAGTTGGTTGACGGTGGATGCTAAAGCCAACTGAGCTTCTGCATCGTGGACGGCGGTGTCTTATTATAGTACCAGAAGGCCAAAGGTCAGATGAGGGGTATGTATCCATCTGTACCAGGTCTCCAGGCTCTTCACGTTGCTCTGCACCCGTACTTGGTCATTCAAGTTTTGAGGTCTGCCCAGGACCCCTGGAGCCACACGGACCGATGCCGCATGAAAACCAACCACTGAGGTGACGGTGAAGACCCTGTCCTGTCCGTCCGGAGTCTGATAGTTTTACGGAGAGAGAAATGATGTCATGTGGCCGGGATCTTGTCTTGATCATATTCGAGAACCCTATTGCGTAGGGTGTACAGGGGATCGGGCGAGGTTACGACACCAGAAGTTGCATGTACGTTATATCGGCAGCAAAAGTATGGCTCCAGGAGTTCAGAATGGGGGAGTGTGCCGTTGTAACAAAGCATCAGACAAGTGCGAGGAGTGGAAACCGTCTATCCATATTCGTGAATCCGAGTGAAATCCCATTGATGCATATTGTTGGCTAGCAGTGTTCGCTTAATGAATTGTCGTTTAGTGTCATGAAGTCGAACTATCTTAGTGCCGGGATCAAGGCACCTCACCCGAACCGTCAAGCTACCCTGCATATAGCCTCGGCATACGACTGGAGTGACAAACCGTGTGAAAGGTTAATCTCGACCTTCTCCTATGCCATACACATCGATCGTAAGCTTCAACCTTGTTGCTCGATTGACCGGCTGTATCAATGGCAGCACCACCCTTTCTTCCGCTTCGGCAACTTCTCAAGCAGCCTGCAACATTGGCCGCCCCTAACGCGCCAGTCTTGCAAACCTCCGCCCGTCGTCAGCAGGTTTGGCTCCGATGCTATCATCAAGGCGTTAATGCAGGTAAGTTACTTGGCTTTTGAGAGTCCCTTCAGACCATAACCCATTGAGCTCACACAATGTTGTTGTAGGCACAGCATCGCAACCGACAAGCCCTTCCCGGTTCCGCAAAGCCATCAGCTTTGGCGCGTTTGGACTGCTGTTTACGAGCTTGGGTTTCGCTGCAGCGGCGAGTCCCCTAGTGCCTGGTCTACTTGACGCGGCAAGACCCCGTTCCGATGAAGATACCCTGCACGCCTACGTGCCCGAAAACGACGAGGCCGCAATAGTGAATGATTTCGTCAACAACCACCCAATTGCGGCAGAGATGCGCCAGAATCCCGACATGACTGAATCTCGACCCCATATGAGACTCCCCGATGCGCTGCGGCGGCATAATCTCACTGGCGGCACGCTTCTTGGGCCTGGTCGGATCACAGTGCCCCCTGTCTGCTGGACTGAAAAGGGAGGCAAGTCTCTCGTGTCAATCTCCCATCTTGGCACAGACATTTGTGGTCACCCTGGCATTGTGCATGGTGGATTGCTTGCTACAATGCTGGACGAGGGTCTGGCGCGATGCTGCTTCGGTGCTCTTCCACACAAAGTGGGCGTTACGGCCAAGCTTGAGATCAACTATAGAAAACCAGTGCACGCAGGCACGTACGTTGTCTTGCGGGCACGCACGACGAGAGTAGAAGGGCGTAAGGCATGGGTTGAGGGCCAGTTGGAAACGCTGCCAGTGGACGGAGAAGAGCCTATTGTCCTAGCGCAAGCCTCTGCGCTTTTTGTCTCCCCCAGATTTGCATCCGTGAGTGACCTTTTCTCTTACTATTTGGATCATTGAGCCACAATACTGATATCCAACAAAGGTAATGGCCAAGCTGAATGCGACTTGAGACCTTTGCAAACGCAAACTAGAGCGCGTCCTTTCGATTCTATTTATACTGAAAATGTAATAGTCGAATGGGATGCACTGGGGTGATTGGAAAGAAGACATGGCACCGAATCCACAAGTGTTTTGCGAGACAGATCGATGCACTGAGCTGAAAGCACATGCTCAACCCGATCCGACTTAGACTATTCGAGCCAGTAGACCTTCCACACTCTTGTGGGACGGACTATGAGTACAGGCCACGAGCCCTCCTGGATGGATTGGTAGATGGCTCTCATCAGGGTGCGCGCAGAATAGCTCCCTCTCAAAATTGCAGCATACGGTGAATACTAGGCTGTAGATAGCCCCGCGACCTGGCCTGAGCTGATAGATAGCTCGCAAGTGAAAAATTGCAGCCGGCGAACAGGGTTGATGTCCTGCAGAGCATTCAGTCAAGATTTCGAAGTGCGCGACTCTAGTTGAGGACAGCTGTGATGTTATAGCCGTGCAAGGTGGCCATCAGAGGTCCCGTCCCTAGCTGAGACGGAGGAGTCTTCGGCACCGACGTGAAGCGCGGCGCGGCATCCGGGAATGGAGCGGGAGTCGGCACTCGGTCATTCGGAGGCAATACCTTGAAATGGGCAAGAACCAGCCAGATTACAGGCCACTGACGTGCTGGTCCCGCCAAGCGATGATCCACCTCTAGCCGATCTGACGCCATCGCTCGGCGCAGACTCGCAGTGTTCCGGTAAGGAAGTACATGCATCATGTTGCGGATTCTATTGATTTTTTTTCTTCCTGTATCTTAGGTCATTGGATCATTCCCTACGGGATCCGTAAGGTACTAAACCTAGATGTGGAAATGGCCAAAGCCAGGCAAAGTACCTCCCCTGTGAAGCCACTCTCTACTTTGTAGTGTTTGGGAATTTGGGGTACATCGCCTGGCGCTGACTTCTACGTGATCTTAGCTTGTGAAGTGAAAAACAAGAGAGAAAAATGGAGGGGGAGGAGGTGGGGTGAAAAGCAACTTAGTACCCTCCCAACTCGGTCCGTTGTCGTGAGAGTCGTGTATGCGAGCGCATCTGTGTGTATATGTATGGGTGGTTGTTGCCGCTGCGCCTGATTCCATTCCACACTTTCGCTTCTTCAACACCATTCTCCCCTTGAGTCCTTCCCAACAGATGCCCAATTGAATTCACAATGGCCACGTAAGTATGAGTCTGGAAATCTAGAGTTTCGCCATGACAGGACCGAAATTGCCCCTCCATGTATTTCTACCATCCCACCGACCCCGCAGTCGTCGCACCTGCCTGCGGTGAATGCTCTGCAGCTTTTTGCCTTCACGTCCACAACTCGACAGCTGGCAGCCTAACGAACAGATTGGCTGACATTTAACCTCCGGTATCGTAGCAACATCACATGGCACCCCTCACTCTCGCGCTCCGAGCGTAACCAGCTGCGCGGACAGCGTGGTTTCACCCTCTGGCTCACAGGACTCTCCGCCTCTGGCAAGTCCACCGTAGCAACCGCTCTGGAACAGCACCTTTTGCACCTGGGAGTTGCCGCCTACCGTTTGGACGGCGACAATGTGCGCTTCGGCCTCAACAAAGATCTTGGTTTCTCTGAGAAAGACCGCAATGAGAACATCCGTCGCATTGCTGAGGTACGGTCATTTACTTTAACCCTTTGGACTTCATCTTCCGACCCAAGTACGGCCACCATTGAAGAGTACGTGGCTAATGCCGCAGCAGGTTGCCAAGCTGTTTGCCGATTCTTCAACTGTTGCCATTACCTCCTTCATCTCGCCCTACCGTGCAGACCGCCAAGTAGCTCGCGAGCTGCACAGCCAGACTGGCCAGAGCAGCGACGAGGCTATTCCATTCATCGAGGTCTTTGTCGATGTGCCCCTCGAGGTCGCTGAGCAGCGTGATCCCAAGGGTCTGTACAAGAAGGCTCGGGCGGGAGAGATCAAGGATTTCACCGGCATTTCGGCCCCTTACGAGGCACCCGAGAAGCCCGAGATTGTCATCAGGACCGATAAGTCGAGCGTCGAGGAATGTGTGGCACAAATTGCCGAGTGGCTGATCAAAGAGGGTCTCATTACTGCGAGTAAAACAGCCTGATGTGGATGGTCCTACTATTGCCTGGACGGCCGATTCTCATCTTGTTTGAACTAGGAGTTACCAATCCGCTATAGCCCAGAGCGTTCTAACCACGGTTTAACTGCCTCTTAAAGAATACTACGCGTTTTCAGTGCAAGGTTGCGTCTGAAGCGCGGGAGTGCATGCGCCCGCCATGCTGCAATTGCGTAGTTCCACGTAACTAGGAGAAGTCAAACTCGTAGTAAACGTAAGCCGTGTACTCGTGTTCCTCGCCTCCGCCGAGACCAACAGCAGCCATCTCGGACGACAGTGCTGCGTCGTCTTTGGTGATTTTCCCGCGCTTGTCTCTGCCAAAGGCGTTGCCTCCTAGATAGGAGTAATTAGAGTCGAGCGCTGTCTTGACCTTCTTGACCAGCTTCGAATTCGTCTGTCCGTCGCATTAGCATCGTAAGCAATGATTTGAACGAGAGATAGGGGCACTGACCTTGACAAGAACACTGACATAGTCGAGCGGGAGTCCGTAGCGGAGAACAGCCTCGACAAATACGCGAAGTGCGAGCACATGCAGCCAGATCATGACGCTTTCGCTCCAGCCTGTCCGGCCGATTCTCAGAGCTTCTCCCCATGTCTTCTTCTCTTCACGAGCCACCCGGTCAAGCTCACGTTGCTCTTCCTCCTTCCCACCCTCCACATACTTGTATTGACGCGGAGTCCATTTTTGCTCGCGACACTTCGCAAGAAACTCTGCACTGTGTTTTTTGAATGACGTGGCGGCGTACAAGGTGAACTCTTCGTCCGTCGCGACCTGCACGGCAGATCTGGGGACCACCATCGGTGCCAGTGTTTCGTAACTCTTCAAGAAGTCCTTCTTTGCATTGTTCGGCACAACAATAAGATGCGTCTCTAGGTATTCCGAGTCCTGGATAAGGAGAGCGGGATCGACAACGGGAGTGAGGGACTTTGTCGCAAGGTTACCACTGTAATACCGCTGTCAGCTATCGAGCCGGCATTGGGCCACGAGAAAGGATGGGCCTTGGAGTAATACGTACGTCTGCTTGCGCTGGAGAGTGGTGAAGTTTGTCTTGACTGAGTTATACTGGTTGAACTTGCTCTTGACATCGTTGTCGGTAGTGACAAGTTCCTGGCGCTTTATTAGTTTCCTGTGGGCCTACTCTATGGATGACAACCCAGATCCACGTCGAAAGCGAGACAGATGCAGCAAAGAAACGTCCCGCCGCGAACCTGTTGGTCTGAGTACGCTATCTCTCTCTCTCTCCACATACCTTTTGCAGTGTATCGACGAGTTCGCTCAAAGGTTTGTCGGCGCGGTATCGAACCTTGTTCCAGGAAAACGAGTTGATGTATTGGTCGGTGGGCTCTGAGGTGCAACCGCCGTCAGTATCATGTACAAGAGGTTTGTGGAACAGGCAGCAGCAACGAGGCAGTGCCCTGGACGTTTCTCACTGTCGTTGACCATCTTCTGCTGGGAGATCTTGTCCTCATCACCATCGAGGATTGACTTCAATGAGTCGGCAACCTTCGCAACAACAGCCTGGCAGGTGGACTCTAGCTTGGCAAGGTCATCGGCTTGTTGGACCAAGGCATCCAGGGTGCCGATTTTGAAATCGGGGATGTTGAAGGGGCGAACACTACCATTTTCAGCCGAAATGGTAGCGCTTAACGAGGAGATGGCGTCGTCCTTATCTCCAGAGTCGAAGATGCCGAGAGGCAGGGAGACGAGGGCGTATTTGGTAGACATGCTTCTTGAACTGGATCGGACGCAGGCTAGCTATCCATGCGGCTATGTCAGAGCCTCGGAAGGTATAGGAAAGTAAGGCGAGGTAAGGTTACGGTAGGTGAGGTCGAGCGAGCTATCGAGAAGTAGGCGGAATTAGTTGGGCGTCGGTCGATGCAATAAGAGAAGATTAGAAGTTATCAACTGACCTGGAGGCTGGGGTTTTGATAATACCCGCTAATGAGCAATGACTTTGCGAACTCCAGTAAAGAAATCGCACATGGGTAGGTAGCTAAGATGGTGTCAATTGAAGGCCGGAGCGGATTGCAATGCAGCACTGCCAAGTAGTACGGAGTAGAGGAGAGAGAGGTTACCTTAGGTCCTAAGCTGAGGCCAACCTACGGGCCTGCACCATGTAGCCCCCTCCGCAACGATCAATCGCGAACGAGGTACTCACAGCTTTGCCAGTGTTCAAGTACAGATTAGGTGTCCACAGGTGGAAGAGGTACGTGGATTTGGGAGCGGCGATCAGGTACCTGGGCAGCGAGCGACGTAGCGGGGGCGCAGTAGTCGGGTACCTCAAAGCTGGGTGGGTGGTGGGTGGTTCGTCACTCACTCGGCGATAGGTCGCCTGATAGGCAGCCAGCGAGTTTGCTGCCATCTAATGAGGTGGCAGCCTACTTACTTGCTGTACAAGGAAAGCTGCTAAGAAAAGCTCAAGCTTGACCTCTCCACTCGACATCCCAATGCTGTCCAACTCTGCTCACGCCATACCTCCCCAACTTCGACGGCCACTGTGCATTTGCAGAACGTAAGACCTGTCTAGATATCCCGCGGCAGGTCTTGGTTCCTTCTCTATCTTCCCTTTCGGTATATTTCGCCCATCGCCAATGCGCATCGCTAGATTTCGCTGTCGCTAATTCAATGTATAGCTCCAGACGATCGAGCGTTTCTCGCTTTGTCACAATCTAAGTCGTTACTTCAGCCGAATCCAACAACGATGACGACCAGCTGGCGCCGTTGCATTATTAAAAAGAGAAGCTGACTCGGCAAGTTATCATATGCTGTCGAGTCGCCTTGGTGATCCGCCCTGGGTTTCGTGATGCCTTCTTGCAACCGCGAGTTTTAGCACACGTATTTATTGCCATTTGGATCAAGGGCCGAGCAACACTCCTCGCCGGGGCAGAAACCTCAAAAGGCACGGCTGTGCTCCAATCTTTCTTTGAGGGACGATGCTGAATTTGTGACGCGACTGTCGTCCACAGCCATGGCTACAACTGCAGGTAAGTGTAAAGCACAACACGCTTCCTTCTCTGCGCCCCGACTAATCGTCTTCTGCAAAGCATCTCCTCAACCTTCAAACCCTGCGCGACGCCCTACACCGCTTCCTAATGCCTCTACCGCTACCGCTACCGGTACTGGCACTGGCACTGACACCGTTGTTGGCACTGATACCGATAGTAGCACTCGCAACGGTTCTGCAGCACAAACCCCTACACTGGGTGTTGTGAGTGAAGGAGGTTTGTAGACTATTCCTATCTCTCTAATGCTACTACTCGTTGGATGACCAGGTAGGAACACTGAAAGACGTTGCTGACGTTCGAGCTGTAGGTGCGGCGAACAGATTCGGTGTCTTGCAACATACTGGCCCCCCAGTACAGGATGATATCCCAGGCCTTTATAGAGATGGACGTGTACGTAACCCTGTGCCTAGTAAGCTAAAGGGCAAGACCGATGCGACGAAAGGGAACTTTGGAGTCATGCACATAGACCTCACTACTACCAACGAAAGTCGGGAGCGTGATGCAGCAGCCAAACGCACGAGTGAGGGAACGCAGCTTGCGGCCAGACTGGCCCAGACAGACCGTTACATTCCCATCAGACGGAGCAAATTTATCTATCGACCAGAAGTACATGCCTCGAATAGTCCACCGCAGCTCAACGCACCGCATCCCAGTGCCCCGCAGCCAAACACACCGCAGCCAAACACACCACAACTCAATAAAGCGCAGCAAAACGCACCGCAACTTGATAAACCACAACTGAATAAACCGTGGCCTCACCAACCGCAGCTGAATACACCGCAGCTCAATGCTCCGCAGCCAACACCACAACTCAATAAACCGTGGTTCCCTAAAACACCGCTCACTACACCGCAACTGAATGCACCCCAGCTCAATCGACCCCAGCTAAATACACCATATATTCGGGAGACCGTTGGAGAAACGGCGCAGGGGCGGAGGAAGACCTCAACACTTACGACCGCGGAGACAATAGCCGAACAAGCTCGACTCTTGACTCTGTTGCGAAGCCTGGACCCTGATCTGGTCGTTGATCAGCTTTGCAAGGGACTAAAGTTCTTTGGAGGGATTGCCGATGCGCACACATCACACGGCGGATCATTTCCCGTTAGCGCCGAGGCGAATGGGTCTGGATCTCTCTTTGTTGGCTGGCTGGCAGAGATCTTTCCAGCTCTAGACCAGGGAACAATGCCGAGCGCACACCAAACGAACCTGAGACGACCACGTGGTCGTCCAAAAGGAAGCAGGAATGCGAAGGGGAAACAAGCTGGCCAGAGGGCCCAGCGACTGGCTTCAGGAGCTCGTGCAGCAGGAGCAACAACGGACAACAGTGCAGGTGATGACGCGGCGAGAAGAGCTGCGGTGGATAGTAGCTGGGTTGACATGGATGACACAATTGCAGATACTGACGCAGAGAGTTTGCAAGTGGACGCCGAGCGGGTGGTTGAAACTCCAGCTTTCAGTCGGGTAGTCTCTGGTCCAAGTGCTTCCGGTGGAATGCCGGAATCTGGCTTCGCCCAGACCTCGACAATCACGCCGGCCCCTAAGCGGAGAGGGAGACCTAAAGGCTCGAAAAACCGACCGAAAGATACGGTGCCCTTGGCCAACGATGCCCATGAGGATACGAATGGTGTATCTCAGAGCCCAGTAATTATTCAGCCAACAGCAGTTAATCCTCCCGAATCCTCAAGCACGGCTGGTGGTTTTGACGAGCTCGGATCGCCGCTCGTCAAAAAGCGGAAAGGAGGTCCTGGCCGTCCTAAGGGATCCAAGAATCGACCGAAAGAATCAGCAAATGTGCCTGGCTCTCAATCTCAACAAAAACTGACCACATCTGCTGCAGACGACCAACGAAGCGAGCCACAATCTGCCGCAGCGAGTGATTTGGCTCTGCCGGCGCCTGCTGCCATTTCCACATCCTCTACCCGAGAACAACAATACGAGCAGCGACCGGCCAATCAGGTAAATGTGGCTTCTCAGTTGGGACCGGAGACTGTCAGCGAATCCGCTGCCATGAAGCAACAAGTCAGTAAAGCCTCCAGAGTCGCCAAGCGTAAACGGAAGGCTTCTCAAGAAGGCAGAGACAGTATTGCCGGCAATGAGTCGATGACAGCTGCCTCGGCTTCAGATCGAAACAATGGTGGTGGATTTACTGCAATCACCAGTGAGAGCCCTTCGTCACCGCAGATGGCCCGGTCTCAAGGATCACAAGTGCAGGATCACATTCATGGCCATCAGCCAGTGACCAAGAGGCAGAAATTACCGAACCATCAGCGCCAAGATGCTGCCTCAAACAGCCGAATGACGCAAGCTAGCCAGAACAGTCAGACTGGACAACGAGGGCAGCACGTGCCACAATCGTTAGAGCCAACGCGGACAGACCTTCACAACAGCAGCCTCATAGATGCCAATAATACTAATCTTCAGAGGTCGAGCGCCCAGATGAGCGGCTCTGCAAAACGATCATCGCTCCAGCAAGCCCTTGACGCCCAGCAACCTCAGTCTGATCTACGACTTCGATACAGCCAAAGCCTCACAGCTTCATCCGCTGGCCGAGGAGTTGAAAGGACTGAGGTAGCGGAATCCTACTCCTCGAATATGCCATCAAGGCAAGGCATGTACAATCAAGGTGGATCGGCTCAGGGGCAACAGCAACAGCATCTCTTTCATCAGCAAGAGCAACATCAGCCAACTCCACAGAACCGATCTAATAGCAGTCAGCACCGCCTAAGCAGCTCGGGTACCGGTCAAATTCCGTCAATACTAGGGCAGAATGGGGACAGTTATACAGAGTCTACAAGTGACGGAGACTATCATGGGCTAGTGGGCCTTCAGCAACCTTCGTATGGCACCCACATGACCGGATCCTCGAGCACGCGCGGAGACAGCTCCCGGACTTCGACTTCACGGCCGATACAACAGCAGTCATCTACATTCCATGCACGGCAGGAACACCCAGTACAGAATACGGGCATGTCGTCTTTCCAGGACTATTCCGATTCAGCCTTTCTGGCAAGCCTGACAACGGCTAATCAAGCAAGCTTGGCAATGAACCCCACACAATACAATGTCAATGGTGCAGAGATGCAGCGTGCATCGCCGACCATGAACTCAACGTATGGCTCGTCACACTTGGGCCAGTCGTCTTTTGATGGCGGCATGACAGAATCTGCAATGAGAGACCGCATGTATCATACTTCGAGACGTCAGTAGATAAAGACGTGGTTGTAACGAGCGACCACTTAATGCGCCGCCTGTAGGTACACTGTGTTACTGGCACCTTGCTCCGACTGGTGCCAAGGGCTCAGGAAATATTTCCTGCCCTCTACCTACGTCTTTGCGCCACGGAAGAGATGCGCCAAAAAGGCGGGTGGCATTCTCAACTGTGATTCCGAGCATCGTCTAGTACGGATACCCAGCCAGGTCGATGTGCCTCGGTCGCCTCGGTCAAGATCGAGTGTGTGCCAGTCGGTCATCAGTGACAGGCCTGTGTATGGAAAGAGCATGTCGCTCAACAAGTGAATTGTTTGACTTGACTGGGCAAACGAATGCCAACCGGTCATGGCTATCACAAGACTACAAAACTAAATGGAAACTGTTTGATGTTGGTATCTTTATCCACATCCCAGGTATTGCACCCCTCTCCATGCTGGCCCTGACAAAGAGAATGAAAAGAAAAAAAAACAATATCCAAAAACAAGTCTCCGCTTGAGTTCCAATGGGCCAAATTCCAGACCGACCTTAACGCCCTTAAATGCTAAACACGCCACGCTGGTTCTCATGCGCCGTCCATAGCATCTTCGTCTATCGCTTCGAGCGGAGGACGAATGGATTCTGGTGTACTTCGTCCGTACCACCACTCATCCTCCTCATCCATGCCATCATCGCGAATTAATTCCAACATTACTTGTGCATTGCGTTTGATATCCTGGGTACGCTCAACGATGCCCCGCTCCAATATCAAAGCTTCCGCAGTTTTGAGCCAGATTTCTTGTAAGCTAGGGAGGTCAGATAGTACGTGTCGGGCATGCTCACGCTCCAGCGGTCCCATGGGCATGCCGGCTGCTAGGCTTGTGTTGAATACCAAGTTCGTGTCGGAATCGACTGGATCATCTAGAGAAGCCCGAGAGGCACGACGCGTTGATATTCCGTCATGTTGCGTCGACTTGGTCGAATCCTTGACCGAAATCGAGGACTTTTTTCGGCCCATGCCCATAATACCTCGTCGCTGTTTCGGGGTTGGGTCGATCGGGTCCTTCGAGACACAATTGTACCAAACATCAACAGCTCCCCGCCTGCTGTTGTACCCCTTGATCTCCCAAAGCCTCTCCACTTGTCGCAAGCCTCCAACACATAGAATGGCAACGTGAACCTCATCTGGAGGTCTTTCCTTCAAGTAGCCTCGCAATGATCGTTCGACGCGGCCAGCATAAGATGGCGGACGTAACCGTCGGCAGAATGAGGAGATGACCAGAGGGAAGACTTGATGAACTCGCAAAAGTGTCTGGTCGTCGTACATGCTCATGATTCGAGCCTCAATCGGATTCAGGGTATATGGCTCGTGCAGTAAGCCATGACCGTTGTGGTCGAGTATGTGTTGTAAGTGCAGCTTTCGATAGGTTTCGAAAAAATGAAACAAGGTGAAAAGGAGTGGTATCAGACGACGACGCATCCGTTCGTGTTGAGGGGCGAACTCGAGACGCTGCGATTCCGTCGTTCGCAGGAAGATCTCCTTCGTGATCCATTCACACATGAGGTATGACAATTTGGCGGCGACATGCAAACGATGCCACAAGCCGCACAGGTGATGGAAATTGGCGGCGGTGGGGTCGTTAGATGGGTAAAGACGCAAGGCGTATGCCGGGATGTGACGTTCTAGATGGTGGCGAACGATGGGCGCCTCATTCAAAGTCACAATGGCGTGCCAGGATCTCGAAACTCTGCGAAGATTCAGGACGTCCGTCAATGGCAGCGATGAAATGACTTGAATCTGAAGCTCGGTAGGCAGAGCCAAGAACAATTGACCGAGAGATTGCCTGGTGATTTGTTAGAATTATTAGACGCAATCGCATGTTGGCTCTAGGAGAGGGTGGCTAACGTCTTTGGCTTCGCAAACACTGTATACTGCTCGCGATGGTCTACCTGCACTGTTGACTTGCTTTGGAGGATCGAGACCTTGGATCGCAGGCTGAAGAGTCGGCTCTTCTCGGTACGCTTCTGATCTGAGGGTCGGGAATTTTCGGTATTGCCTTCATTTGACTTGGACGTTCGTAATGGCAAAATAAAGGAAGAGGTAGACTGAGATGATATCGGCGGGGAGGGATACGGTTGAGAGGATGGCGTCTGAGGATGGCGTAATTGTTGAAGCTGCTGGGCTTCGCGGGTCGCGGGGGACTCATTGAGCTGATTGAGTTTACTGAAGTAGCGCTCGGAAGCGAACTCGGTGATATGCGGCGGATCCATGTTGATGCTATCGCGCTGGACAATGGCTCAGCCTGAAGTAAGAGGGAGCAAGGTCTAAGAAGTCCGGCATAAGGTCTCGAGGTACGTCGTGTTGAGAACGGGAGGGTTAACGACGGGCGGGAATCGGAAAGTCGACGATGCCGTGCATTCGCGGCTCAAACATGGCTGAACATTGAAGATATCGATGATGGTTAGGAGGCGGGAAGAATCGTAGGGGGTGATTTGAATGAACAGGCTGGCGCCCGGCGTCGATTGGAATAGGGTCGTCGAGAGCGTAGGCTTCGAGAGTCGACGGGCGAGAGGTGACGACAAACGACAACGGCAATGTAGGTTATTGAGATTGGATGGCCGATGAGATGGATCGAGAATAGTCGAGCCGGAGCAAGAGACGAGGAAAGATGGTGAATGAGCGTATGTGACAAAGCCGAGTCGGATAAGGAGATGAAAGGCGAACGATAGTGTTGTAGAGACACAGAACGCGGTGGTGACGCTTCGGGCGTGATGGTCGATGTTGGTTGGAATATGAGGATGCGAGGAAGAAATGGAGGAGGAAGAGGGAGGGGGCACAGAACAGAGCGCGAGGGTGCTGGAGAGGCCCGTCGAAGTCGGGTCACTCACTCTCTCTGACAGGCAGTACGTTCGGCACTGGTAGTGGAAGAAAGGCGGTGGTGGTGCAGTCAGGCTCAGGTTCCATGAATCCTTGGTGGGTGGATGAGAGTGGGTAGAAACGTAGAACCTCTCTGTGGGCGACGTGGGTATGCACGTAGGTATGGTGGTATGGTACCCAAGCCTGGATAACTTGGTAGACACTGGCGGTCACCTCAGTCTATGGGCGCAAACGCGGATGAGGTGACAATGAGGTTAGGTAGGTACGGTACGGATAGAGAAGAGACAACGAGAGCAGTCGGGTGGAACTGGAGGCCAGGAACGGGAGAGAGGCAGATGCAAGAAAGCGAGAGAGGGATCGGCTGTTCGCTAATTCTGGGTGGCCCGGCGGTATGTGCGGCGAATTAGTGGAGGTCCAAGTGAGGAAGGGCACCTGCTGGCTTGGAGGGGGGGGGGGTCGATGATCCCGAAGCGGTGTTTGGCACTGTGATGCAACGGCGCTGACTGGCTGCGGCCTCGGAGAGGGAAGGGCCGGAGAAGCGTCTTTTTGGGGGTACTTCGCTCAATTTACCTATCAATTGTGGGTATTCTACCGTGTATCGATCTCTTCACTACCACAGTATGATGGGCGTGAACGGCGGAAGCGAAAGAGAGCGGCCGAGGAAAGCACCGTAAAAGTGCGCGGACGAAGCTTTTCATCCCCACAGCCCTGAGCCTGGCAAGCCGTACGTGAAATCGCATTGGATGCTTTTTGTCGAGTGGTCGAGTTCCATTGCTCTATGGAGCGAGTAGTAGTAAATAGATACCTTGGTAAGTATACCTGTTGCGAGTGTGGCCTTCAGGTTCAGTCTTTGTTTTTTCTTTCTTCTTTCTTCCCGCTTCTTGTTCCACAAGTCACCCATTGGTTCTGGATTTTGACTCTATCAGTGTAATGTCTTCTCATCCATTTTGCCATCAGGTATCCGTATGGAGTAAGGTACTGAAACGGAGGTCAGGTACGGAGTAATACGGTACTCCAACCACTCGACTTGAGCGGCAACTGCAATTGCGACTGCCACAACAGCAATCAGGTAAGGTATCTTGCCTTAGGCACGTACAATTTCAGATCAGATACCTGGTTGTCTATTCGCTGGTATCTACTCACTTCGCAGTTCAACATCCGACTTTCATTCCTCCGCTGTTTTACGGGCTATATAGCGCTTCCCCGTCTCCATTTCCCATCCAGTGCCATCGTCAAGACTCAAGAATCAGACGTCGATCACGGGGCCCGGGGAATTGATGGTGAACCCGCCCGATGGCGCTCCAATGTCTTCGCCGTGTGTCAAGCCTTTGCCCTCAACTACACGCGACGAAGCAGCTTGGTGGTTTGGCTGTAGACATACTGCGTAGGCACTTCTCGGCCATTGTCCCGCGTCAAGTGGGCGCTGGCCTATGGCTACCTCTGGTTCAGCGGGCGCAAAGAAATATCCCTAGACAGTATGCACCGATGAAGTACCGAGCACAGTCGTCCAAACGATCTAGGAGAGAAGCCCGGCATACCTAGATCCAGGCGGAGCCCCTACGGCTAGATGCTGTCGCTCTACTTCCATTGGCTCATTTGTATTGCAAAGCTCGATTCGATGCTATCGCGGATAGATGCTTCACCTTTCCAAAGGTACTGCTAATGGGCCATGGTCTCAGTCGCCCTAGAGCTGCTTGGGCCGACTTCGATGATCCAGGACCGATTGCCAAATAGGCCCGAGACAGGTCCCATACCAGACGCTTCAACGGAGACACGTCTATCCGTAGGCACTACTCCGTAGACAGTGACAGTCTGGAAACGTTTTTCTTTCGGCGGGTCTATCAATCGCATTGCGTGCTAGAAAGTAATGTGAACCAGACAAAGGTCATGTTGGGCATTTTGGTACTGATATCTACATATTCATCCATCGTGGCCCATGTTTCGCTTCATTCTCGCAGTAATGCAATTTACAGCCGGCAGGAATGAGAAAGCCAGCGGACTGCGAACATCGCCGACACTGCCGATCCGGGCTCATTGATTTTCTCGCCTTCGCCATTTACACACGGGTGGCTTGGCTTCGCGGGGCGTCACAAAGCAAGCAGTGAAGCACATCGGGATACGGAACGTGGACCGCCTACAGAAACTTGCCATGCGAATGAATGCGTACAGGTACAAAAGGTGTTGAAGGCACAATGCTTGCCCAAGGAATTTTGCAATTGTACGCCGTGAGCGCAACTCCATCACTTGAGGTTTTTACGCATGCTCCCATTCCTTTTTGAGGGCCGAGTATTCTAGAGGCATGTAAACACGTAAAAGAAGAAGTTCCAAACAGCCTCTGCAACTTTCTAGTTTCTGGCACCTCATCGTCGCCCTGTTCACTGTTCACCGTGCACACTTAACCTTGGATGGCAAATACAGATGGGTTATGGCACCTCTCGTGAGCTTAGCGTGCGAAGCCGACATCCGCCAGTGCCAACGTGAACGTAGCCCATGGGGTCAAATGGAACGCGGTAGATTGGACCGAACTGACCGAAGTTGAAGCGATGGAACTGACACAAGTGGCTAGGCGCTGTCTCGGATGGACAAGCTGCCTTCGATGCAGCGGGGGCGGACGGAGACAGTGGGGTGCACGAATACCGGGGAAGTAAAGTAAACCGTGAATGCTACGGTGCCGCGGTACCAATTTGACCTCCCGCCAGGCTCAGCCCAACCATGAACACTGTAAGTCACTCAAAGGTGAGTACTGAGGTAGGAACCCTGATGTTGTGGTGCACACTGGTAGGTACGGAGGTTCCAGATGGCGTGGTGGAGCGCCCCTCGGGCCTACCGCGGCCTTTCTGTTCTCTTAGGCTCTTAGTCTTCGGCCTTCCCTCCCCTCCGCATTCGTCACAGTCGATATTTTCTCCCCCCAAGACTCCAACCTTTCACGTCGTTTTCCGGCCTCTTGGTTGCCGTTGGTGGATTGATTTACCTTCAACTTTCAAGTACCGTTATCCGCTCCGCTCTAACTCCCTTGTGTATGTGTGGCTACCTAGTGACTAACGTTTTACCGGCTCCATGCCATACCGGTACTCCGTACTGGAGCAATGAAGAGAGGGATGTTCTGGCACTTTATAACGTTCTTCCGGTTGGCCATCAGGTTACCGGCGCTACGGAATACTGGAATAGGAAGGCGCCTCACTCCACATTTGGGAGTGCATCATCCGTATATTACCCTACAGACACGGGACTGTATCCGTACATAGCACCTTACTTACGTTTGTGAGTAGGTACTCTCTCTGTATTCCCGGTCCAATCCCAAGGGTGAGAAATTCCGTTGCGCATCTCCTTACGTAAGCTTCGAAGAAATCGAGCGGCCCAACCCGCGTGCCCGCGAAAAGAGAACTGAAACTTGAGTACGGCTGGTGGTGGCGCGCCATCGTCGTTTGCCTTTGAGACGAAGACTTGTAATCCCGTCATGTTGGCCGACCATGAAGCCATTTTTCTTGGCCAGGCCAGCCCCCCAGTATCCGTACACTAGCGGGCAATAGCATCGACATCGGCCGAGAATGCCCCGTGGATATGTGGGATTCTCTCCGCCCATGGTCACAGGTTGCAACTTTCAAACTTCTCCAGCTTTGTCAAAAATTTACACAATGGTTGCATCTCCAGGACCCATTCCCTCCATATTACTCCGCGTTTCCTCCGCTCTCTGAGCCGCTCCAGAGCCCAGGGTCAGGAGTCAGGGCAAACTACTACTGCGTAGCGGGTTTGTATCACCCCTAGACAGCCACACACGACACAGCCACACAGCCCTGAAGGCCAACCGTACCACCCGAGTGACAGAATACATGTTGTCTACCTTAGTTTGGTGGCTGATGTGGGAAACAGAGGCCCCCCCCCTTTTTTTTTTTTTTTTTCTGTCTTCCCCGTACCTCTTATTCACTCTTACTTTGACAATGGAAGAGTTCCTGGGATGCCGCGATACGCCTGAATGCCCCTGGCACGTATACGGCCCTGCCTCAACGCTGATTCGCGATTCGTTTCCCGTCATGACACCTACACTGGTAGTTGTAGGCCGCTCGATTATAGATCCTGAAATCAAGTGATACTCTATTCGTATCCTCCCAAATAATTAAAAATAATCAATGGTGCCCGTGGCGTCAATCGCCTCAGCCACAACGGTCCGTACCTGATTGAATTTCATCCGTCTGTCTCCGCCTCCGCATCCCATTCATCGCCAAGTCCGGGTACTTCCTCCTTTAAACTGATCTTAGTCATTGGTTGGTGCCGATTTATGTACACCAATACAAACACCTCGTTATTTTCCTCCGTCTCGAAACATTTGTCTTTGCCAGAGACCAGACTCCATCATCGGTGAATCGCCTAGAATCCATACCACGGCTCAATCGCTGCAAATAACTGTCACGATAGACTCGGTCGGATTGTTTCCACTGGCCGATACTACCTTCTGCTCTTCCTGTCCGGTGCTGACGGGGAAAGTACGCTATGTATAGGCAGTCTGAGTCTTTAAAGCGCCTCGGTACTTGAGCAGGCCGCAAAACGCCCGGCCCCGCACCGCGTCGTGTCCGCAAAACCCACCTCACGCCGGACCACAATCGGGCCAAGATCGGAAGGAGACGAAGAGATGGGAACGCCGGGTAGTACTCGGGCTTCATCGCTACCTCGAGTGGCGTCGATTGGAGCGCATCTTCCCGGTCCGGAAAAAAGCACCAATCCCTATGCTGCCGCGGACACTCCGCCCTTTGCCCTTGCCCGGTTCGAGTTTGAGGCAGGCAAGGGCAATGAGGGCACCAAGGTCCTGATGGTGGAATGGGATCCCTCGATATCTGTTTTTTCCTCCTCGCCGCCATTCGAACTCTTACCACCGCCAGCCAAGACATGGGAAGTTTCGTGGGATGGCAAGACAAACTATCTTCCAGCAAGCGACGATGTCAAAGGAACGCATAAGCGGGTGTACTTCTTACTTCCACCCGGTGCCAATATTCCTCCCACCGTTGCCATTGTTCATCCTGACGGTACATCCCTCACCATCAAACCCCTTCCTGCCATCTTCCCGCCAGGCCTGGGTGCCAGTGAGTCAGATACTGGAACACGTGGGGTTCTTCACACCATCTGGGCCAAGAAGAGACTCCGTGAACTTCAAGAAGAGATCGATGCCGAGAAAATGACAAATACCGAAAGCGTCGGCTTAGAAATGGTGCTCCAGGAGCAGCAATGGGTTGTCGATCATTTTGGCGTTGCCCCAAAACCCAACAACATCGTCGAAGGCCGAACGATGTCTGCATCAGGAACTTTACCGAGTCCCATCTCTCCTCAACCCCTGACCGGTGGCCGACTGGGAGAGAAGCTGAAGGGGCTGAAGCTCGCGACTTCTGCAGCAGATTTGATTGCTGGTTCGGCTGGTGAGATGACTCGTAAAAGATAAACTATGCAACATATCAACCAAGCGTGACTGACTTGAGACTCGCAGACAAGAACGCGCATCTTCAGCCCATATCTTTCTCGCCCGCCCCTAATGACATGGCCTTTCACTCCTTCTCGCACCCTGCGCGAGATACGACTACTGGCAACCTGTCCCTAGGAGGTTCGGCATCGCTGGACGCCATGCTCGCAGGGGGCAATCTTCACCCGAGACAGCAAGACCAGGACCAGGAGGAGGAACTTTTTGCACTCCCGATGAGCCCTCGCAGTCCTGAGATGAAACGGAGTCCCTTCAGCTTTGCCTGAAGGTAGTGATTGCCCCTGGACCAACATCATTTCCACTCCGACGACTTTGAGTACGATCCCAGGGAGTGGGGTTGCGATGTCCCCTGGACGTATGCCGTGTGTGTGTGAGAGAGAGAGAGAGAGAGAGAGAGAGAAATCGGAGGATGACAGCTGTAGCTGAAGGCATATAGCACACATTCGTAGACGGGCTACAGAACGACACAGACAGGACCTATACGCTGCACATCATGGCGATTTTCTAGTGATTTCAGCATGTTCCATTCAGTCTGTAGGCCACTCCTCCTGCATACTTCCTTCCCCTCTTCTATTCCATAGAATATTTCTTTCAAATATCTGCTAGCTAGATGCGGTCCTCTGCATTGCATTGTTCGTCGCCAATACTACCATCAAGGAGCAAAAGTAGAAAACAGCAGACATAACCGTCGACATGCCATTGATGTAGTGCTCGTGTGTTGGTCCCCGTTTCTGGATAGAGCTGAATGATTACCTCCAACCCGCGAGGACCACCACCTCCTGCGGTTTCCACTGCATCGTTCCTTTTTCGCCTTCACTTGGACTTCCCCGAACCAGATGCCGGAATGGCATACATTTTACCTCCAGCCACCAACGCGACCTTCATCCCACCGCTCCTTCCTTTCCTGCCGAAGATAGTAAAGCACCTTGGCGTCTCTGTATCTCTTGATCCAGTCCAACGTCTCTCTCTCCGACGCATACGCGCCATCTCCCTCTCCGTCGATGAAGCTCTCCTCCAAAACATGGCATACCGAGGCCTGCTCGTGGACGCCTTGCCCCAGGCGTTGGTACATGGCAGCCGGTGAGAAGGGTGCTAACGCGTGGTCCATGTCGGATTGCTTCTGCCGCCACTGGCGCTCGAGCGCATGTGTTGAAAGCAGCTGCGCTTGCGTCGTGGACCGCTGGTGGGCTAAACGAGCCTCGAGCTCTACAAGCCGTGACGCTAGCTCAAGGTTCTCGGTCAAGGCCGCTTGAAGGGCCTGGTGAGATGACGACAGAGATGGGTGAATCGTACTTGGTGCATGTGTCAGGGCATTAAGCAGGTCCACGTTGGTCGCTATATCAGCGAGGTCATGTTTCCTAATACCATCATCAGCCTGGAAAAAGAAAAATCAACGACAGGTGATGCCACTGCCATGTCCAAGAACGTACGCCTTGTCTTGCAACACCTTGGGAAGCCACTGTTCGCCTGGATCTGGCACAGGCTCAGGTCGAGCAATTTCGAGCCCGGCCGGCTGTGAGACTTGGTTCAAGCGGCTCCCACCCGCACTCTCCACATCCAGGCCGGCGCCGTTGCCGTTGCCGTGCCGGGGCGAGTTGACCATAGTCGGCGTGCCGATACGACTTGTGTCGTGGCTACCCGGCTTGGGTGGAAGTATCGGTGGTGGAGGATCATGCATGGTGTGGACAGAAACACGCAGCGGATTAAAGGTTACAACAAGATCCCTATTCTCGAGACTCAAAAGAATCTGCAGGCCACTGACTAGCTTGATAAGCTGATCAAAGTATATCTTCCGACTTTAGAGATGTCAGCGTTCGTTGGGCGGGGTGGTTCTACAAGACGGGATGTGGCTATGGTTCACCAGGCAGAGGGGTGCAAGGTCCACAACGTTAAGCAAGGACCTTGTTTGGGGTGCCCCACAACGGATGATTGGATCGAACCAATCGAAATTGAACTTGAGATCAGATTGTACTTCCTATTAATTTAAGCTCGCGTCTACCTACGTACCTAGTATGATATCATACCCATAAACACACATCTCTACGGAGTACTCAATTATAAGTAGGAACTCAACACAAGAATGGCGAAAAGGGTTACGAAATGCTTCACTTTTGGTGATTTCCCCCCCCTCTTCTTCTTTGCTGTGATACTCTTTTATTTGTGAGCCTGCAAAGCCTCGATCTAACTAATCGCCCCCCTGCATCAATCAACTTGGCAGCTGAATGACCTTGTTGGATTCGAGGCATATCATGCCTGGCCGAAGTCTTCCTGAGCGGCATGCCGTGTGCCAGCTGAATCTCATGTAGACGTGACACATCTCCAGTACAGGCCTCAGATCCCCATTCCTTATTCTTGACAAACATTGTGACTCGCCAGTAAACTGCCCAATTCAGTGCTTTACGGACCAAAGATCCCGTGACCATCCCATTTCACGTAGCTTCTTGCTGCTCGAATTGGCCGCCTTCTTCTCGCCCGATGCAACGGCCAATGCTTTGCTGCAGGCAGCAAAACACTCGACCAGTTCCTTCATTCGCTTAGCCTTGGTGAAGCACTCTGCCACATCGGAGCCCTTCTCCGCAATAGTGGCTGCCAGCTCCATACACTCCAAAAAGTTATCCCTCGTCAGCGTCGTGCCGGCGAAATGGAGCGTGCTGACGTAGGCGAGGATTGTCTCGGGAAGATATGCTTCCCGCAGCGCTTGTAAGTCTTGATCTTCTGTCACGAGCGGATTAGTTCTCCGAGAAATGTGATTTAAGGAGCACGGGTTACCTTGGCTACCCAGCCAGTCAACCAGTAGTGGTCGCACGTGTTCTTTGGCTGCTTTGACCTCGTTGCCGACCTTAGCCCAGAAATCTCGTTTGACCGACGGGTCCCTGCAAGTGGTTAGTAAGATGTTGTAGCCAAAGATCAGGTTGACATACTCCCTTGACAGCTCCGCCAGTGAAGCGACAGTCTCCATTGTGTCCAAGGCTCTGACGAGACACTCAAGTTCGCGCAACACCTTGGCGTCCGATACTACTTGACTTGGCGAGAGGTCCATCGCACCCGCGCCTTCGAGCTGGTTGACCCAGAATTCTCCATCTTGTGTCCACCAGAGTTCGTCTTCTGCTTGCTCAGGGAAGTCGCTTGAGCGCATGCGCATAATGCTATCGAATGGTACACGATTTGCGAAGCTTCGGGCAGCATTCAAATGCATGGTCTCTGTTCGATTGGGGTCTAATTAGCGGATAGGTGTCATCTATTTTGAAAAGGCAGGGTCATACTTAGAAAGTGCTTGTAGATTGCCACGCCGGTGGAAAAGACATAAGGCCAGGCCTCGCTGACTAGTAGCAGCCATTCTACTGACCGGATCAACCGCTCGTCGACCGGGTCAATGGATTCGGGATCTTCCCCGAAGAAGTCTGTTTTGATGGAACGTCCGTACTTTAAGGACGCCGGACCATCGTCCATGATCTGGAATTCCCGCATTGCATCGTTTTGCGCTGTATCGAGGCCCAAGGTCTGGAACAAGAACTGTGGTTGTGCCTTGACGAAGTCCACCACGTCTAGTCCTGCTTTGTGAATGAAGGTGAGCTGCTCTTGACGAGCTTCGCTATCGGTGATGGGAAGTAGGTTTGTGCTCAACACTTGGAAGGCTCTCGATGGATGAAGCCTGGAGCAATACAGTGGTATCAACTCCTCCAAGCCTGCTAGGCGGAGCAAGCTAATGTACTGCGTAATCGTGTTCTCTTGCAATTCACGACGATTGTGATCCGAACTCATTGTTACGGTGTTGGTTTTCAGAGTGCCGAGTTTGTCAAGCGTATCGAAGATGATGAGTGCATGAACAGCGATTCGCAGGCCATCAGGATTTTTGATGTCAGCGAACTTTTCCGTCACTACGTCGACGTTGCGGCAGCTGTGATCGGGCATGAGCGCAGATGCCTCCTTGGAATTCGCCTTCTGTGTGATGGCCACACCCTGCTCGTAAAAGTGCCGTTGGAGGTCTCTCGAGATAATGGCGGCCTGTAGTGCCTTGATAGGCTCCAAAGCTTCCTTGCTCGTGTGCGGGCTGGTCTCTAGGTTGCGGATCAAGCGTTGCTCCAACGTGGCTGCATCGCCATGGAACTGAACTGCGTCAAAAGCGGCGAACGATGAGCGGATGGTTGCTGATGCTTCTGGAGAGCATTGGCTGAGTAGGAAAGTGTCGAACTGTGTGCGAATCAAAGCGTTGTAGTGCATGAACATGAAGTCGTCCCAAGTCTGGCATACCCTTTGCACGCTGGGGATGTCTCCTGACAGCACCCCATATACTGCTCTCTCAATATCATCGGTGCCTCCTTGGCGAGCAAGAGCAAAACACATGCGTCTCCAAAGAGCAAGCCCTGAAGGGTCGTCGACAAGTGTGGTCTCCCCATGATCACTTGCAAGGGGTAAGGCGGACATGGATACAGCCCTCCAAACCTCCGTCCTCTCCAAGCACCACTCCCGCGTAGTCTCTAAACTACAGCCTCTTCGAAGAAGCTGGAAGCAGCCTACCCAGATAGCCCTCTCAAAGTACTCATCCTGTGGCTCCAACTTCCGACCCTGTCTGATCACAGAGTCTGGGTCTAGTTCGGCAACGAGTGGCGCCTTGTCTGAGTTGACTAGAGAGCGTGCGACCTCCGGAAAATGCACGTCAAGCGGGCGTGAAGAGCCAATCACACTCTTCTGCAACTTGATGGCAGACCTTGTGTGTATCCAGCCGTGAGCGATGATGTCACCTCTGTCGGCGTTTTGCTGGAGCTCTCGTACGAGGTCGTCGATGTCGGGGCCAGCTCTCGCGCCTTGTTGTAACCATTCGAGAATGGTCTTCCTCTCTGTGGCCGACTGGTCGTTCGCAAGGAATGCCCTCCACAGATCTTCTCCACTGTACGTAGCTTGCTGGTTCGTCGAGGATCGAACAGAATATCTCAGCGGGATCAGGCGACGAACGAGATCCCATGTCTGTCTCTCTTGCTCCCATACTCGAATCTCTTCTGAATCTGCCGCAGCCTCTGCCTCTTCTTCATCGTCCAGGTCCATCTCATTGTTGCCAATTGAGCCCTGACGGCGTGGCTTGCGCAGCTGCGACAACTTTTCGGCGGCATAGTCGTGGTATGCGTTTACCAGCCCCAAGACCCTTGCGCGTTTGTCCTCATCGGTGCCTTGGTTCGCTAGGCAATCGTCAAGAATGTTCGCGAACACCTCAACTTCAGGCCCGATTCCGTCCATTTTCGGGAATGCAATCGTCGTCGAAGGGAACGGGATCTAGGGAAATATCGATCGAAAGTTTGCGCACAATGGGGAGAAGGTATTCGGTCGCCTCGTTGACTTCAATGTGGAATGGTCGATCGTTGGTCGTCGGCAAGGTTGCGCATGGGACCAGGGCAAGTATGGAGTCCCGATGCGATCCTAGTGGGTGATTAGCCAAAACAGGACTTGCGGACAAAGTGAGACTATGCTGTGACTCGTCTGCTTACAATCTGACAATGATTGTGGGCTTCTCTGTTTTCAGGCCGGGGAGGGATCAAGCCATGGGTGCTGCGGTGTGAACGACTTTCCAAGGTGCTTTGCAGCGCCAAAGATGTAAGAAGCTGCAACCTATTAAGCCCTTGTACGCAGAAACTTTTCCAGGCGCTCAACAGAGTTGAAGGAGTCCCCACGTATCGACTCTGAGAATAGAAGAAATAGGCTAGAGGAGTTATACTCGAATAGTGAAACTGGGATCTTTGATCGGACCTCCCACCCTACCGGGGAAAAAAATAATGAAAACAAACCAGCTGGCAGCTCAATGAGGCGTCTATGGTATGATACCTCACCTTGCGGGAGCAGACGTCCCAGGTCAAAGGCAGGCTAGCGCCTGGCTGGTCTGTGCGCTCTGTGCATAATCGCGCGCGTCGCGTCAAAGCTTTGGGCAAGAGTAAACACTGTGAACACCTGCCTTGAGTAGATCCAAGATGGACCGTGTAAATGGATGTATAAAAACAGTATAGACCCGCTTTGGCATCCTTTATCAACACACACAGTTGGAAATTTTCTTCTAATTTTCTCTCTCTTTTTCTTCTTCAATGTCAAGGCTTTTGTATTAGAGTCTCGGAATAAGCACTCAATGCTTGTTCAGATCCTACGGGGTCTCTTAGCGCGCTCAACGAATGCCTAGAAGAATTCTCTCTTTCTTGAATGTTGCCAGATTTCTCTACTCGGGTTAACGTATATCTACGGAAGAGTGTACATTTCAGCATCCCTATGGCTACTTTTGGGAAACGGTCTCGCGCGACTCCTCACGTAATATCGACAGCTTCAGTCGAAGCAGATCTGGCTTGGGACAGCTCGCCGACGTAGCGTTGTCTCCTTTTGACTGGTAAAAGGCATCGCAACATTCGTACAAGGCCAAAATCACCGACTGGCACTTCTCCTCCTTGTACCCATTTTTGGTTAAGCAATCTATGAGCCCAAGTCAGCTTTGACTCAGCCTTGCACCTGCTATTTGAATCGTGACGAAGCCGTGGAGAAGTCCATGGTGCAAACCTACCCTGAATAGCGCACTGCGCGAAATTGGGTCAGCGCTGGGTCTGTTGAGTTGATTCATGGGCTGGGTGATGGGCTTACAGCACGAGGATGGCACGGCGGATTCGCCTTTAGGTCCTCATTCTGGCCCTTTCATCTCATTGTTAGTAGTTACATCGCAAGACGAAGCGGTGCCGGAGAGTCTACCATGACGATCGGTAATGGCACGGTTTCTCAAGGCCAAACGTCGAAATTGCGAACGGTCCTGGTAGACAATGGACATGTTAGCAAAGAGCCACCATAGGCATTGAGCTTCAAGCTCGTGATTGTTCCTTAATGTGCTTATGAATGAAATGATAGAGCACCTGAATCATGCAATGACGGGTGACCAATTAGGAGGATGCTTGAATACCTACGAGTACGAGTTCCACGAAACTTTGGGAAGGGGCAAACAATCAGATGGAAACTAAGGTACCTAAATTGAGATGTTGTTGTAGGTAGGAAAGAAGTATCTGACTTGCATTCCATTATCACATTGAGGCTTAGGCAGGCGACATCTGGGGTGGGAAAGTGTACTACCTCAGGTAAGCCTTAAAAAATCCAGGCTCCACTTCGCCCAATCAATTGCCTACTATCCCACTTCCACCCTGCCAGTGTCTTTGCCTACCTCTCTAAGGACTTAGTGCGCCAGTCTTTCGGACTCAGATGCGCCTCCCACTACTGCTCCCCACCTTCCGCCTTTCGTCAATTCTACAAGTCTCCTTCTTCACAACATCGCGTGCTTCTCTTTCCGCGATCTTCATAAGCCCAACGCCCGAGCTATCACAGCCACACGCGTGCGATCCCTCACGCTCTCGCGACTACGCTCTGCAGCGCAAAGTAGGTGGAAACCAAACCATCAGCACCCCACCCATCATTCGACCTCCATCAATCCACCCGTTGACCCCTCCAAAGTCCAAACGACCGACGACAGTCTTGTGCCGATGCTAACTTTTACCTCGTCAGCGATACTCACAAAATGTCTGGCGAACACGAGAACGGAAGCCCGTCTGCTGGCGGTCAAGATGCTCCGCCCGCCGTCGAGCACCTGAACATCAAGGTTACCGACAACAACAACGAGGTCTTCTTCAAAATCAAGCGCTCTACCAAGCTGGACAAACTTATGACGGCCTTCTGCGAGAGACAAGGCAAGGCTATGAACTCTGTTCGGTTCCTATTCGAGGGCCAGCGTGTCCAACCCACGGATACCCCAGACACGGTAAGTGCTGGCTACGCAGCTTGCCCCCGACATTGCACGCAATACTAACGCGAGTGGCACTACCAGCTCGAGATGGCGGACGGAGACACTCTCGAGGTGCACCAGGAGCAGGTCGGCGGTTCTCTGTAGTCAAACGGAGGCAAGAATAACGGCAAAATACACGGTGGGAGTAGTCGAAGGAGCGATGGATTTTCTTGCTTCTTGAGAAGGCCTCGGCTGTCGCAAATGGCGTACATGGATGCAACGGATTCTCCCAACAGGGCCATATGAAGACAGTCAATGACGATTATGACTTTAACCACTTAATTTTTTCACCTCTTCCCCTAGAGTACCTTATCCAGCCAAACGCTATGCCCATTACTCAAGCTGAAAACAAAACCGAATGCTAACCGACAACAAAAGCGCAATCGCTTCCCCTATTCCATGGTCCTAACTCCTATCCTAGACAACTCAAAATAACGCCCAACTCAACAGTCTGCTCGTCGACATCGTTATGCCTTTAGTTCTATCATGCGACATCCTGTGCATAGCACCATCACCCTGTCACCAACCTCTTTAGGAAAGATTTGGCCGTCGTCGAAACCGCCCTGGCAGGAAGCACAGCGGAAACACTCATCATGCCACTCACCGCCCAGCGCTCGGATGTATTGTCCGATGACAGCAGTCTTGCACTTCTTGCACTTGGGCGCCCTTCTCTCTGTCCTCTTTGTCTGGCAGTTGACACACCACGCATACCCGTCCTTTTCGATATGAGTCATGCCTTTCTCGAATGGATCGCCGCATTCCGCGCAAAAGAAGTGTCCGTAGTGCCAATGTTCTCCTAAGGCGACAACGTGCTCCCCGAGAATGGGTGTCTTGCAGTGTTTGCATCTCGGTGCGTAAAGTTCGTGCCAATCAAGATGGCAGAAGAAACGTAAGCGCTCGTCGCCGTCTTCGGCCATGGTCTTGCCTGGCGTTTCTTCCAATACCTCGCCATGGGCGCGACGTTGGATTCTGTCAAGGCGCTCTTGGCGGTGAGCCTCTGGCTCTGGGCTAATCTCCAAGGCTTCGAGACCAGTACCACAAGCAAAGCAGCTAAAGCACTGGGGATGGAAGCGCTCTGACGATCCGCCCAGAGCGACGAATCTACCTTCAATGGGGAATGCGCATTCGTGACACAAAGCGGTTGAGTGTTTGCCCGCGCCAGGGGCTGGCGACCAGTGACGTTGCGGGCGCCGGAAAGGGTGGGCTCTGGATGCTGTCTTGGGGTCAGGCAAGGGTCGCGGCCTCGGATTCGAAGATTCATCGTCGTCGGGGGTGACTATGCAAGGTATGCCGGGACTAGAACCAGCTGGCTCATCCACCCCGTCAATATTTATGACCGGAACGATCGGGTTGCTGCGTGCTCTGTCCGACGGAGGCTCCTCCGGCGCCACCACGATAGAAGGAATCTCCATCGGCTGGCTGTTTTGGCTCGCGGCTCCTGGCCTAGCATCAGTTCTCTCGTCTGGAGCCTTCCACTTCGAGTCGAAGCTTACAATCGGCCGACCAGGGCGATCACTGACAGCCGTGGGCGTAGGCAACTTCGCGCTGCGGTCCTTCAGCTTCATACTTGTGGCCCCTCGGATATCTTCACTGCGTATCTCTATGCCGTTCTTCTTGGGTACCAGGTCGTCCACCACAAGCTTCGGAGCCGACGTGTTGGTGGTGTACTGTGGGTTGCGCGACTGAGACGGTGGGTTCCGTTGAATCTCTACATTGCACCTGGGTTTCCAGGGTCCAACGCGGGTCGCCTGTGAGTTTGTAGCAAATCGGACTTGATTCTGGGGGTTTTCTGGTTTGTCCACCAAAGATAAGTCTGCTGCCGACGCTGACTTCGTCTTGACCTTGTCTTCCCGGGCATTGGCTTCTGGCTCTTCCCAGATCTGGTCACCGGAAAATGGCCTTTGAACTTCGCCGCTGATGTTCCGCTTCATACTGCTGCGACGCTGACCCGAGCCTCTGGATTTCGGAAGGGGTCGGGCACCGGTTGGCCCTGAAGTTCCCAAGTCCATTGAAGGCCGCTCGGGACTCTGACTCTCCCCCCCAACGCTATTCCGTGACAAAGCCAAGGAGGGCCGACTTCGCCGAGAGTGACCATCGCTGTCGGTAGAGCTGCCAGAAACCGACCTGGACTTGTCCCTAGCGAGGCCGGATGGATGAGCGCCGTCAGCATGTTTGCCCACGCTCGCGGTGCGAGCATGAGCATAGCTGTTCTTTCTGAGGTGAGGCTTGTACCGATACGGGGCGTCCTTGTCAGGAGGGCGAACTCCATTCTGATGCCGCCAGACCAGTTCTGAGGCCTCGTCGAGCGCAGCATTATAGATACGTGTTTCGTCGTCTGGCGTCTCCGCGGCTTCATCCTCGACGTGTTGTTCGCCGTTCTTAATGGACATGTCTTCCATGGCATGTCGAAGTGACACGGCCTCTTCCTTTTCCATCCATCGCTGTCCTCTTTCCATATAGGTAGCAGTGGGCACAACCTGAGAGGGCTTCAGAGGTGATGTTGGGCGGTAAGGTTGATACTCTCGTCCTTGAGTGCTCGGAATTGAATGACGGGATGATACGCTGGCGTTCATAGAAGAGGGATGCGGTTGTGATACATCGATAGAACCTGGAGTGGAGAGTGCAGGACTTTCGCTTCGAGGAAGGGGCTCGGAAACGCTGTGTTCGATTGAAGGGCGTTTTGATCGTATGCTTGCAGAGGAAGGCGGCAGAGGCCTTGCTCCGCCGGGGCGGGCGACTCTGTTGGATCGGAGGTTTGCCAAGTAGGCGGCTGAGGAGTTGGGATTAGCATTCATGACAGGCAGAAGCAGAGAAGCATTCAGAAGCATTTCTCACCGAATTGTTCGTTATTCATGTAGCTTGGCGATGGAGGAGTCACCTTCCTCGTCTTCTCAGTGCTCTGTCTGCGATGCATGATGGAGAGCTGGCGTGCGGCGAGCACGTCGTCGATCAAGCAGTGGAGACGGGAAATGGTGGTGGCGGTGGGCAGTGGGCAGTGGGAACAGGGTGAAGATTGATGCGGTGCCTGGGGAACATGCGGTGAAGGTCTAGTGGATTCGCTTGGCTATGGATGTATGAATAGATGACGATGATGCATCTACTTATGAATGAAAGGGAAAGACTCAGTCTTTTTGTGACACTTTGACAGAGGGGGGTTCCGATTGACGGCGATGAAGTTATACTTGAGCCATCCATCCGTAGCTAAGGTGAGGGAAGGTATTTGGCGTGAGATGTTGTCGGGGCAACGATGACTCTCTCTTCTGCGACAATGAAACATCGATGTCGACGGGGTTCGGGTGAGCTTAAGTTGACCTGCCTGGCTACCTACGGGGCTCTGTGCCGTCGTCGGGGACACGCCCTGGACTTAAGGGAGTCACCTCGGTGCAGTGTGATCTGATGCCCTTCCAGGTTAGCCCCTCGCACAGTCCAGAGTGTTCCCAGCGCTTCTCAGGGAGACAACCACAATGACAGCTCCACAGTGGCAGACGCCTCCAGATGATGGCTTATGCCCGTGATCCTGTGTCAACTTCTTTTGAAAGGAACCACTTTACCTCTATAAGTATCCCAACTTGAGAACATGTTTCCATGCTGAGTCTATACCTCGCGTTCTGTATTCCACATAGCCCTCAGGAGCAATTGTATACGCGCCAATGTGCCTCATCAGATAGCTACATGCCTACATACCTATCTCAAGTCTATGAGAATTGAGATTTTGGGCAATCCAGCATGTCTTGACCAGCTTGTCCCAAAAGCAAGCGCGCCAGTCTAGGTCAGAATGGGTGATGGTTGTGCCTGAGACCAAAGTGAACGTAAACAAACATGCCGTACCTTGCCTTGGGCTTTACCATGCACAGGGTGACGCTCCCGGCGCGATGCTCCTGGGTCCGTTGGCAGAGTGCATGACTTTCTTTGCCGCGCATAATGGCTCATATATTGTCAATTTCTTACACATCTGCGTTGTCAAGCAACCACGTTGTTGAAGATCCCCACAAATTCGTTGCAATGCAAAGAAATGCCCTCTCGGTATGGAATCCGTGAATAATGTACATGTAGAGGAGCTATCAGCTGAAGAGTCTCCAACGACCCGTCATATTACCATCTTAATTCGCCGGGCTTTGCGTCCTTGTCCTTGCCAGTACTTCCCTGGGCTTGAGCTTGGCTTAAACCCAGACCGCTTGGGTCGTTTGCTGGTTTCGGTCCATTGTCGAAGCCTAGATTTCTAAACTCGTCCTTGGCCATGAGATTTCTGAGGCCAGAGTCAATAGTAGTCAGAATGTCGTCCACCGTTTCGTCCACAGTCGCATAGACAAAAGGAGACTTACCGATCCATCCGACATGCAAGGTAGGATTTAGCAAGGTCGCGGCATTCAGCGTCGTTTACTCCTCGTACTTTCTTGATGCACTCGAGATACGTAGCTATAACATGCTTGCATTCGCCTGATCAGGTGCGCGTTAGCAGACCAAGGACCTCAAAGACACAGTGGATTGGGGTAAATATTTCGCAACTCACCATCATGATCAAGTGGGAAACTGCCACGTTGAGGACTGGGCAACAAAAAAAAGGTTGTCACACGTTAGCCTGCACCACCTTACATATTGCATTGGCTGTTGTGAAGAAGGGCCGGGTCAGGTACGAACGGTATAGGCTTGGCATTGGCTTGTCGAGAACCTGGACCACCAAGTTGACTCATGGTAGAGATAATGCGGTTGAGATTCGATAATGACAAATGATTCAACGCAGTTCCAGCTGAGAGGCTGTCTTGAAAAGCTGCCGCTGTGTTGCTGAGAAGAAGTTGCTGGGCCTGGATATCTTTATCTGGGCCTGAGCATTGATGATGAGAAATCTGAGTATCCGGAGCTCGGGCAGAACGGTGCCGTAGCCTGACTTACCTTAGCAGGTATTAAATGCTTGTATCGTCTACCTTATGTATGAGATTCTCGATTGCTTCTTTTGCTCAAGTTGCAGAAAAGCTCACATGCGCTGGCCCTGTAGGGGAATCGTTGGCTACGTAGAGGGAGGGCGACAAAGGTGGGTGGAACGACATTGGTCGATTCTTTAAGGTACCTGAGGTACCAACGTACAGACAATGTCTCCTTGGCACCCGGTGACACCCACGAGTCTACGGAATACGACCGGACGCTATGGCCTTTTCAGAGCACCTGTCGCTAAGTACCTTGCCCGAAGAACCCCCCCAAGGTAGCTAACTAGCTACGCAAGCTACGGCAGCTGAGGGGGGAAGGCGTATGAATAGGTGCGAACCTCAGAATCAAGATTCAATAGACAGATCTCCTCTTATATGTAGTGTTGCCATTGGAATATTCCGGCAGAGAGAAATCTCTCGGTCCATGCCCAGTTAATACTTCCGTTCTTACTATGATGGAGCCGCCAGCTACCTGCATACAAACCGAGGGAGGAAGGAAAAGACAAAAAAGTCTGTAGGCTTTTTGTGATAGAAAAAAAAACCCACTGAAAGACAGACTACGGAAAGTGTCTTTCTTTTCATCTTCTTGGAAAAAAGCCTCACCACGATGAATGTTTTTCTCACCCTCTGAATTAGCTTACTTAGAAATATGCTGGCTTGTACGGAGTAGGTGCTGATAGTGATGTAACCGAGCCTGAGGTGTCAGGGACTAATGGATCCATGGATGTGTATTAGCTAATACTGAGAACTATTCTCCTCCACTGTACCAACCCATAAGCATTTACGTGCCTTGTCGTTTGTCGGAGCTTTCTGCGTAGGCGACATGGTGGATCGCGCATGAATTCTCGAAATTGAACGACACGCCGGAGAGCATCTACGCGCATCGGCTCGAGCAAAGCCCCCCCTCGCCCAAAAACTCCATCTCGTCAGAAGGGGCTTCGTTCTCCATTTTGCAGTTTTCTTCATCATCTGCCTCGCCCTCAACCTCCAGAGGCAGCCGACCACTCCCGACGAGCCTGCGCTTGCTCCCTTCACCTGCACTAGGTGCCCTGCCTTGTTTTGCGTCGCCCTGCGCTGCAGACTCCCCGTTTGGCCTGGCCTTTCGCCCTGTGAAGGAGCTTCCACTATTTCGCCTCCCAAGCTCTCCTCGACATCCACGGGTGCTTCACACCTCACCACCATCACCTCTTCCAACCCGATTTTGTGGGAGTCTCTACCTCCTAGCGTCACCCAATCACCATGGCGTCCCTAGGAGACGACCTTCTCGGCACTGTCAACAAATTGCAAGACCTAGTCTTCAATACTATTGGCAGTGACTCGCTCGATCTCCCCCAGATTGTACGTCGTCTAGTCGTGGTGCATGAGCTGTCTACATGCCCAATCGCTGACATTTGAGCAGGTCGTAGTTGGTTCACAGTCAGCCGGAAAATCCTCCGTCCTCGAGAACATCGTCGGTCGTGACTTTCTGCCCCGCGGCAGTGGCATCTGTACTCGACGACCCCTGATCCTGCAACTCATCAACGTATCTGAGGACGAGAGTGCCTTCGACCCTTCCTCTGACCCCTACAAATCTCCCGACGTTGCCAGACGATCCGAATGGGCCGAGTTTCACCATATTCCGAACCGCCGCTTCAATGACTTTTCGGATGTAAAGCGCGAGATCGAAAACGAAACGGCACGAGTGGCGGGCAACAACAAAGGCATCAACAGACAACCCATTAACCTCAAGATATACTCGCCACATGTGCTCAACCTGACACTTGTTGATCTTCCCGGCCTCACCAAGGTATGCCAACATGCTTGCCTCTCTCGGTGCCCAGCATCACATATCTGGCATACTCTAACACAAGCTCTTAGGTTCCTATTGGCGATCAACCTACAGACATCGAAAAGCAGACACGGAATCTTATCTCCGAGTACATTGCCAAGCCGAACAGTATTGTACTTGCCGTATCTCCTGCCAATGTTGATATTGTGAACTCGGAGGCTCTCAAGCTCGCACGACATGTCGACCCTCTTGGTAGGAGGACGATTGGCGTGCTTACCAAGGTGGACCTCATGGATCATGGCACGAATGCATTGGATATCCTATCTGGCCGTGTGTACCCTTTGAAGCTTGGTTTCATCGGTGTCGTCAACCGCTCTCAGCAGGACATTCAGGGCGCCAAGCCCATGGAGGAAGCTCTCAAGGCCGAATCTGAGTTCTTCAGACACCACCCCGCCTACCGGAACATTGCCAGTCGATGCGGCACTCACTACCTGGCCAAGACGCTGAATACGACCTTGATGGCTCACATTCGCGAGCGCATGCCGGATATCAAAGCTCGGCTCAACACTCTCATGGGACAGACTCAACAGGAACTGGCAAGCTATGGCGATATGCACTTTAGCGGCAAGGAGCACCGTGGATCCCTCATCTTGCAGCAAATGACACGTTTTGCCACGTCATTCATCTCATCAATTGACGGTACCTCGACTGAAATATCTACCAAGGAGCTTTGCGGCGGCGCTCGTATCTACTATATCTTCAACTCCGTCTTTGGCATGTCTCTAGAATCCATCGACCCGACTTCGAATCTTTCCGCCCTTGATATTCGAACAGCCATTCGCAATTCCACCGGTCCCCGTCCCAGTCTATTCGTACCCGAAATGGCCTTTGACCTTCTCGTTAAGCCTCAGATCAAGCTTCTCGAGATTCCTAGTCAGCGATGTGTAGAGCTTGTTTACGAGGAGCTCATCAAAATTTGTCATACCTGCGGCTCAACCGAATTGTCTCGATACCCGAGACTGCAAGCTAAGCTGATTGAGGTCGTGTCAGACTTGCTGCGAGAACGCTTAGGGCCGACCTCTGGTTATGTCGAGTCTTTGATTTCGATCCAAAGAGCGTACATTAACACTAACCATCCCAACTTCCTGGGTGCCGCCGCTGCCATGAGTCACGTTGTCAGCAACAAACAGGAGAGGGAGCGAAAGCGTTTGATTCAGGAAGAGCGGGAGAGACGGGAGAAGAGGCGTCTTAAGGAGCTTGGCGCTAATGGCACCGAAGGCCCCGAGGGCGAGGAGGAAGAGCCGGCTGTCGTCGAAAAGGCCGAATCGAATTCTCTTCGGAAGCAGGCAACTAAGGGCGCGCGCAGCTTGTCACCTGGCGTGCGGGAAAACGGCACCACCGGTCTGAATGCGGCACTTAACGGGGCAAGGTCAGCTTCTCCGTCAAGATTCAATGATAAGGGCCTGGGCGGCGCGCGCGACTCTTTCTTGACCTACTTCTTTGGCAAGGACGGTGCTTCTGCGATTGGAGCAGCATCATCGCCCAACTCTTCCATCGCCCGGCACGTTAGCCAGAGCTCCGAGCCCACATTTTCACAGAGCATCCGGCGAGCTGAAGACAAGGTGGCTTTGCGTGCCCCGGCACAATCTTCGTCCCGGGACGAGCTGGAATTTGGCAAGCCCCAGCAATCCATAGATTACGGCTCCCTCTTCGTAGGTCTCTCCACGATCTTTTATTTTTCATTGATGAGTACTAATTCAATATCCAGGGTACGGCTAGCGGCGAGCCAGCCATGACAGAACGGGAAGCCATGGAGACGGAGCTTATCCGAGCACTTATCTCTTCCTACTTCAACATTGTGCGCGAGTCGATTGCAGATCAAGTTCCCAAGGCTGTCATGCACCTGTTGGTGAATCACTGCAAGGATGTAGTCCAGAACCGACTTGTCAGCGAGCTGTACAAGGAGGCGCTGTTTGAGGAGCTTCTGTACGAAGACGACGGTGTCAAGAAGGAGCGTGAGAAGTGCGAGAAGCTACTTCAGACTTACAGAGAGGCGGCCAAGATCATCGGTGAAGTGTTATAGATACGTGTTGGAAAAGAAGAAACAGATCTTGGTGAAACCGGCGCCATATGTTTGCGTTAGCACTCTCTCTATCCCTCTGCCTCTCCCCCTCTCTTTTTCTCTCTCTTTCTTCTCCACTTCCTCCTTCAGTGTGTGTCGAGCACACGGATGTACACTCTTGGTTTCGTCAGGCGGATAAAAGGCGAGGTCTACGTCAGGGGGCGTTTCCGACGGAAAAGGCTTATGGATGTCTGAGAAACGATGCCATGATCGTTGTGCTGTACCTCATATCAGTCTGCTGGGTGGCTATCATGTACCTTTTTGTGTCGAAGAAGTGTGTAATAGAAGATCCTCAACTTCAATAAAGTCAGACTAATATCACGCTATGGGTATATTGTAGTGCACTCAGAGAACGTGAAAGCCAACCTGGAGAGATTCGCCTCATACATACACGCACTTTGCCCATTTATCGGTAGCAATCACCAGTAGTTGGGCTTGATGCTCAACTTTTTCGGTAGAGAGACAGATTTGGTACGACGAAAATAAAGTAGAGCACGGTGCTCTTCGGCTACATTTGACTACTGTGTTCTGCTATTCCCATCCCATCTGAAAGTCCAATGTCTAGCTAGTATTCTGCTGGTCTCTTAGCGCCGGGTTGTTTGGGTCATATTCTGCATACGATGACGGGGCAATCCTGAACTGGGCTCCTGTAGTGGAAGCTTCGCGCATTTGAAAAATATCTCGCTGCTCGCCAGGAACGGGAATCCGGCCCATCGAGTCGTACAGAGCATCGTGACTGTGGTGTGATTCTCTGTTCGGATGGAGACGAGTGTCATCTTCGTATAAAACCCGATGCGTTTCTCGCTCTCGTAGAATCGGCCGACGAACGATGTATTCTCCCTCTGCATCTCGTACGTGTACAATCTCATAAGTCTCCTCATACCCTGCAGACTGAGGACGAGTCGCGCTCGTGTAGCGCGCTGCGCTGCGGTGATCGCTGCTGCGACCTGCATTTTCAGTCACCGTCGGCCTATGGTAGTACGTCGGCACCTCAGAAGCATGTCCGGCGTGACGGACTCCATGCGATTCTGCGATGTATCGTGTGGAGTGTCCACGGCGAGCGTCATCAAAGACTTCTACTTCCATGTGTCGTTCAGGGTTGTTGGAAAAGTCCGATGGGGGACCGTCGCGCGCTGTGGATTGGCGCTCTTGATGAACTGCCTCGCGCCCCAACAGCCCAGGCTTGGATACCCGAGCCAGCGCGTCACGATCTCGAGCAAGATGCGACTCGAGAGCAGCAGTCAAGCTAAAGTCATCGGGGTCCCCTGCTGATGGACGTGCAGAATCTAGCTCGACGGACCTTGAAGAATGAGGAATTACTGGGGCGCATCTTGCTGAGCCTGGTCTTGTGTCCTGCGGCAGTAATTGCTCTCGGTCAAGTGATGGGCGTGACCGAACCAACCTCGACTGATCCAACGTACGAACGACTCTCTCTTCCTCCTCAACTGGGTATCTGCTACCATGCCTGTACCGAGATTCGGCCAAGACTCGGTCGGGGGCTCGACTTTGCTCGCGGTACCCATGGTAATTTTGGTCAGCCAATGCTGGAGTACGGTTTGAGAAGTAGCCTGACGGCATGTGATGATATGTTTTGTTGTTGCCACCTACAGGATGCCCACTGTCATAGTAAGCGGTGCCCCTATGTTCAAACTCTGTCGGAAATGCGCCCCAAGAGCTTTGTCGGCGAGGGTCAACGCTTGAGGACTGAAGGGTCTGTCCTGGGTCACGTGCTTCGTGAGAAGTGATCAGTGGCTTATAGGGGAACGTTGTAGATCTTCGATCATAATCTTCAGTTGAGGGCTGCGTGTCTCGGCGTTGTTGTTCTTGACCCACAATAGGTGGTTCTCGAATGGCTCCAGGACCATGCCAGGGGGCGCATTCATCGATGGAAGCATCTGCATGCATGGTGTAGGTGTGCCAATTTTCATTCGCGGTCTGATCTGGATCGCTGGGCTGTACCACCCCGCCCAGAGGCCATGCGACTCCATACTGTTGTAAAGGCCTGCTGGGTTTATTGAAGACCCAAGGGACTGCTTCGTTGACGAGGTTGAACTTGTGTCCCTTGCTGCCAATGACGGCATTCAAGTCAGGAATTTCTGATACATCCGGCATCAAGATCATGTCTTGTGTCCAATCGAGGCCTGGCTCACTCCTGTGCCCCACCTGCTGGGATCCGACATGTTGGTTTTCGAAGTGATTGACGAGCTGCGGGAGAGAGAATATGGCGCGTTCTGGATTAACTGGTGGCCCTAGACCCATAATACAGGATCTGCACCTCAGTCCGTTGATATTGCGGACTGGACGCATAGCCTTATTGTTTGATAACCCATCATTGAACATCCGCAACGAGGGAGTCTCGCCAAATTTGTGCCAGAAACGTTTGACCACATGGTGTATCGTGATGTATACTCTCAAGGGCCCAGGTAAATCCCTAGTTGTGCTCAGCGAGTTCCAAATGTCTCTCGCGATCCGGGCCAGGTTTTCCAACTGAGTGGTATACGATGACGTAAAAGGCATTCCTTGTGGTACAGCAGATGGTGGCTGAGAATTGCCTTGATGCGGAAGAGTGCTATGCGGCTGCCCAACATATGGTGTTCCTAGCATGTGTAGAGGGTGCTCTTGGGGGCCAGGAGGCATGGGTCCAAAGCTAGAAGATCCCACATGATAGAATTGGGGGGCGCCAGACGGCTCAAAGTTCGGCGGTAGGTAGGGCGCACGCGGTATGCTGGCATTTGTATTGTATGTTGGTAACGGATTGTACGGGGCGGCTTGTGGTGCTTGATAGGAAAGGGGCGGAACTTGGTCGGAAGGAAAACGGTACACAGAGCTAGGTAGGAGGCTACCACTCCGGCTAAGAGTATCATGACCTCGAGGTGGCCGGGATCCTGTCGCCGCATAACCTTGGGCGGTTCCCTTTCCTGCGGCTTGCTGAGAATCTTTGGTCGATCGGCCGTGGGGTTTGAATATAGACTGCTCTGGCCACTCAGCTCTCCAGTGAACAACAATGTTGCCGAGACTGAGGGCTTTGGTATGCTTTGCGGCATAGTGTTGTATGACCCCCTCGAATCCGTAGAACCTATGGCTTTCGCAACCGTTGCAAAGAAACAACTCCTTCCTATGCGACTCGGTATGCTGTTTGATCTTCATATCAAATACCCACTTCATGTTCTCCAGAGTGAGCTTCTGTGTAAAAGGGCCATCTTGGGGATCGACAACAGGCCGCCGCCCAGCTGCGATAGCATCCGCCGCGTCTTTCGCGACATCGGCGTAGAATCTTGAACGCACTGATAGGAGGACCCCTGCTGCAAAACGTGGGCTATTCTCCTTGCTGACTTTGCGACCCTTATTCCAGCTACCGCGGATAATCTCGTCAGCATATTTTGACATTCGTGCCCGTACCGGGCCTTGGATATCGTCCCAGTCTTGATCTGTGACTTCTCTTTTTGTCTCGACCTTCCCTCCAATGCTGGTGCTCCGAGATTTAGTAGGACCCACGTTGATGTTCCTCTCGGCATCGGCTCGTTGAGACAGCAATTTGGGCTTCAGCGTATTCCACGCATTCTCGTCCAAGGCGGCCGTGATTTGTATGGCTGCTTGGAAGGAAGGCATATGAACAACAACATTGGGTGGCAGAGGAGGGTCGAGTAACATTGCGCGCCGCTCGATTTCAGCACGCCGTAATGCTTTCTGCGCAGCAGCCTCTTCTTGGGTCTTATCTGACCTACTGCGGGCTTCTGAGCCTCGGTCTTCCAAAGAATCTTGAGGGGACTTTGGTGGTTCGAGTTCTCGGTCTTGCAGCAGTTCATCACTACTCTCGTTTCCCAGAGTTTTCACGCCCTGGCACATTTGCGCCAGACCGCCAGCCGCAGCCCACTTCTCCCATCGTGATGCATCAATTCTAAGTTCTTTGCCCTGGGCGCCTAGTCCCTTGAGCCACTCTTCGACGGCTGCTGTCCCAAGGCTCTGAACCACATTTAACTGTTCCTTGACGGCAGTGATGTTGGAGGCTGAGTATAATTTTGTAGTTCCCAGCTTGTTATCGCCCACATTGGTTTTCAAGGTGCTCGATGGGATGGCCTGCAGTTCGGGTGTGACGAAGACAAAGGCGAGAGCTGGGATGAGGGATGATGGGGTTGTGGAAGAAAGTAAGAGGTCGATCTCCTATGAAATGTTTAGTTTCAAGACGAAAGATGACGTGATTCAAGTAGAAAACAGACCTTCACAGAATGCTTCAAAAGACAGGGACCGCAACAGGTGACGCCAAATGCAAATACGGTTGCCAGACCATGCACTCCAGGCCCTGGGCGCCAGGGATCGGCATTCTCTTGTTGTTGATTAATCGGCTTTGTAACACCGCAATATTGACAGGTTTTGGTGCAGCATAGCCGCCACATATCGAGTTCAGTCCGATTTCCCAGAGGGGAGGGCATTCTGGGATAGTGCAATCTCCTTGAATGCTGCCAGACTGTATCTGGCTTCATGGGCTTGAGGAGACACGCATTTTCCGGGTAAAGAGCAGTGTTGCCGAAAGCGGAGTGAGAATCAAGATACCCGTTGAAAAGCTTGTTAACTCGTAGCAGGGCACCCAAGCTCCTAGGGGGGAGAAATGCGAAAACTCGATGCCATATTCCAGAGGGAAGAAGTGATCTGTCCCCGGGCAACTGAGGCGACTTGCTCCTCGTAACTTCAAGCTTTAGCCTCTTGGACATGCCTTGGTCTTGGCTAGTTTCAGTGACTTCCACAATGCTACAAGCAGCCTTTCGTTTGTTGTCCCTGCTCGACCGATCCTGCAAGCTCATGGCGGCTTGGTCGGATATATTGACACTAGAGGGACAATTGTTCCTCGGCGTGAAAAACTTCACATCGTCTGAAGATGCACCAGCCTGAGATGAAGCAGTAATGCCATCGTCTTCGGCTGGACTGTGAGGCAATGGGGAAAGCTCCATTGCACCCTCTCTTGGGGATGAGATACCCAACCAGAACGCAGAATAGAAAAGAAAGGGTGTGATGGGTTGGATTCCAATAGCAACTGTGAAAGGTAGAGTAGAAAGGTTTTGGGAGAGATTGGAGAGCTTGTACACTTGTCAGGTCTGAAAACCGTGATAGTTTGAGGGCCACGCAACGAATGATCTATTGTCAATTCGTTCTGTGTCGGACCTGACTCAAAAGCCGCCCGCCAGATGGAAATATGACCCTCACAGCTATGAGACTCCGAGGGTTTGTGGGGTTGAGAGAAAGATGATAGTGAGATGACTCTCGTACAGTCTGGGAATAGTATTGAACGTCGGGAACAAAGGAGCCTCCAGACCTACAGTCCTTTCCCTGGAGATCACTCCAAACGAGGAATGTCAGGCGTGAGCGGACACATACGCTTGTGAGTAAGGAGAAACAATGCCACAGCTACTCGTTCAGTTCGCGTAACATGGTTTCGGGAAAGAGCGATGGGCGGTCGGATTGACCGACGTGACAGGACGCGTTGGAAGGAAGTTGAAATGGCTGATGAGACGCATTAGAGTGGCGGTTCAATGTCGGGTTGTACCTTAGTTGCCAATTGAAGCTCGGAGCCACGGAGCCGCGGAGCTACAGGGCGTCGTCCTTAAGTGGAGACGTACCTCAGGTCCGTACCCAGTCGGATCATGCTAAAGCCTCAAGGTACCCTAGCTCTATCACGTACCTTGACGTAACTAGGTACCTCCGCGAAGGTAGCTATCTAAGTCAAGACGCGGATTTCAATACGCCTATAAGATCGCCTTATAATTTAGATGACGTTCGTGACGGCTGTATTCGCTCTTGCGCGCCGGGAAACGGCGTATACGGTCAACGACTGAGGATCGAATGTGAAGTTGGCGTTTTGCGTGGCTACAGATTAACGTCTCCATCACGAACGAAAGGCTAAGGTCACAGGCACTCAGTGGTGTTGCAAATGCACCGCATTCAATTCCGATATCTGGCTCGTAGGAGAGAAATCTGTCTTAAAAATGGAGACTAGTTTAATCGGGATGATCATGGCTTTCTAGCTTACGAATGCGTGGTCATTGCCGACTTGAGTCTGATGTTTTCCCCATGTCCAGGGCCGTCCTGGACTCTGGATCAAATAGGAATGGTGGTCGTGGCAAACCAAATAGCGAATCAAAATCATGGCCGTGTCGTGCCATTCTTGGTACTTTTTTAGACAAAAGAAAGGCAAGGTAGTAGAGACCGAACTGTGTAAACAACCATCACAGAAGAGGTGGGCAGAATACCCCAGGTGCCTTATGTCTATGGGACTTGAGAAGATACAGTCAACGTACCAAATTAAGCGAATGGCTTCGCCTTGGGCCCTTCACCCCCTTGACCAGTGAGCTCGTTTGTTTGTGTAAGGTATGCAGCAAAACTTCTTAGACGATTAGCCTTAGCCGTTTGTGAATGAGGCGAAATGCGAGCTTAGCGTCTCTTGTTTGTTTTTATCATTCTCCCGTGATCTTCTGCCTTCACCATCGCCGCTGGAAGACCTGGCAATGTTGCATCTGCATAGTGCCAGTGTCAGATTAGCAAGACCTGTTTGAGCTGTCGGATGCTGTTCCAACCATCGCCACCCACCTATCGTCTTGTGGCGCAGGGATCGGCCTGTTCAGACTTGTGCAAAGTTTGGAAGTCACCTCTTAGAGCTATCAGCCGATCTCCACGCAGCGAGGCTGTCAAGTGCGTCTTCTGCTTTCTTTTGCCTCATTCTCTCCCTGGCCTCTTGTGATCTCTCGATCAGTCTCGTTGATGTCATCAGCTGTTCCTCCGCGACCGTTGGGATCTGCAGAGCTAGAGACGCTGCTATCGTGGCGGTGTCGGGGGCTGCTCCGAGATCTCGGACTTGCACGTCCCCGAGAAGTTCGACGCGTAGAGTTACGGCTGCAGGATCTAGAACTACGAGATGACGCTGAGTTCGAGCTTCTACTGCGGGATCGTCTCTCACGACCTGGTGAACGGCTCCGTGGTGAGGAGTATCTGCGGCGCTTTGCAGCCGCCCGCTTATCAGGCGATGTTGAGGGCGTCGAAGGGCTTCGTGAAGATCTCCTTTTCCTTCGCGATTCGCGATAATTGCTCTGGCTCCTTCTCGGTGACAACGATCGATTTCTCGTACGCCTGGGGCTGGATACGCTGCGTTCTCGACGAGTTCGTCGGGCGGGGGCCGGGGGTGAGCCACGACTCGAGTCCCGCTTGCGATCGGGGCTGCGCGACCGTGAGGTGGCGGATGCCGGAGACGGAGAGCGCGTGTCGTTGCGACGACGGCCAGGCACTCGGCTGCCGAGACCGCGATTCCTTGGGACATAGCTGTCTCTAGTGGACCCACGGAATGAGCCTCTGTCCCTCTGATCACGGTTCCTCGCAGCCGGTGAGCGCGACCTGTTGCCACCAAACCGTCCTCCGTGTCTACCTCTTTGGTCGTAATCCCTGTCACTGTTGCGACCGCGCCACATGTCTCCACCGCCGCCGCGGCCGCGTCCGCGTTCACCGCGATCCCTATCTCTCGGTGCCGGGCCATCTTGTTGACGCCTGTCGATATCGCCTCGGCGGCGTCGTGCCTCGTCTGCGGCGCGATCGGCTTCCATCTGGTCTATGTTAGTGAATGTAATTGTCTTTGGGTGAAGCTGATACGTACTTTTTCTTGAATTAACTCTAGCTTCTTGGCCTCGAGAAGTTCTTTGGGCACACCCTGAGGGCTTGTTTGAGCACTCAAGAACAATTTCCATAGTTCCCTGCAGAATGGGGCCGTGTCCTTATCCAAGAAGCCCGTAAGTTGTATTTGTAAAGCTTTGATGTCTGGCTGGAGGAAAGTCAGAAGATAATCGCGAGAACCGGTCGAGGCAGACAATACTGACAAATCGGGGCCCTTCGATCAGGTTGAAACAAAGCTCGATGACAACGTCATCTTCGCTTCCCAGAATGTCAGAAATTTTGCTGGCTATCCACCTGGAAAAAAATCAGTTAGCAATTGGATGACAGTGGAAGGCGAGGCTCGTGCTTTTTCATCACCTGAAGGTTGACTTTTTGCATGTCAACCTTTTGATTGAATTCTGGAGGGAATTTGGTGGACTTCAGGAGCTTTGCGTCGACGCCGGTCGCCATGATGATCGGAGAGGCAACAAGCGGATGGGGTAAGAGGATGGAGGAAAGAAGAAATGGATGCTGTGACGTCGATCCAAGGACAGTCTAGCAGGAGATCGGGAGCTGGCTGGGGTTGAACCTAGAGCTGGAGTCGGAGCTGGACCGGGACGCTGGATGGACGCGTCGGGTTCCAGCGAGACCGCATCTCGTGCCTCAGGTACGAGCAGTAACTTTAGGCTCCAACCAGGTCTGGTGAGTTAGTCAGCGCATGGGTAGTCACAATACTGGGTACCCTAGCACTCCTAGGTAGGTAGGCAGGCACGTTCAATGAACCTAAGGCTGGACAGGTACCTACCTAAGCACCTGCGGTACCCGGCTAGCTAGGCAGGTCCCCATGACGCTGCCCACGGATTTGGGGCGCGGGGCTCACGATTGGATGTCCTCCACGGATATGTTGATGCAATACCCCCAACCAAGAGGGTTGAAGTTAAGGTCCACCAACATCAATTCCAGCTCAAATACTGGGGACATGAACGAAGTCATCTGCCATCTTTGCAAAAAGTCAGCAACCGACCTTTCACCGCACTTAAGCCCACTCGCATTTCTATCGGCCCGTCCGGTCAATGATGGGATTGCCCCTCAGGATGGACAACATACACGCTCCAACCGTGCCCTCGGGCCCAGCCAGCAAGACGTCGAGGAACGGTGACCTTGGTCGCCTCTCTTTTGCCGAGCTACAGAAGAAGAAGGAAAACATGGAGGCTGAATTGAAAGCTCTGGGCGCAGTCCTCGACTCTGTTTGTGATTTCAAGACCCCCCGCTTCAGTGTTCGGAGACGAACATGGAGAAGCGAGTAATCAGCTAATTGGCGAGCCAGCACGGGGTTGACATGAACACACCTCTCACAACTCAAGATGGCTTTCCAAGAGCCGATCTCGATATTGCCCAAGGTGTTTCTCCTCTGGTGGCAGAGATCTAGCACCTTGCTGATTGTAATAGTGCGTACTACCAGAGCCCGCATCATCCACCTCCGCAATGACTACAAAGAGCTCATGGCCATGGTTGAGAAACAACTCCATGAGCACTTTGCCAGCTTGCAGGAAGAGGAGGTACCCGAAGTTCCGCTCCCCGGGGGTGCCAACAACACCCTGGCAGATCATTCGGCATCTCAGCCGCTCGAGGAGCCATTCGCAAAGGTCAACACTGTGGTTCCGGGAAGCCCAGCCGAGTTAGCTGGCCTAAAGCCGAATGACCAAATCCGCATATTCGGCTATGTCAACAGCTCAAACCACGACAGTCTTGAGAAGGTGGCCGAATGCGTACAAGGGAATGAAGGTGTAAGTTGACTGTTGCTCTGCACTTGTGTGAATATGACTTTAACTAGACAAAGCGACCTGTTCTGGTCAGGGTATCTCGGCCCAGCCAAGGGGCGCGGGAGGAGCTGCACGTAACCTTGACTCCGAGACGTAACTGGGGTGGCAGAGGTTTGCTGGGCTGTCACATCCTACCTTTGTGAGAGAGGGATATATTGCTTGGGCTGCGGGGGCCAAACGAGGATCTGATATCGCCGTATGTACAGTAGGCCTACATGATTCGCGACGACTTCGCTGACATAAGACACGAAGATTCATGCCGAAAAGTACAAGGCTGCGCGCTGTGGAATTCGTTCAGTGAGAGTCACTAATGCCTTGGGTGCTTACAAGGTAGGATCAATTGGCAGAAGGACACCCCGACTCCACGTGGCCTGGCATGCTTCTAGACTCACTAGGTACCTGACCTGGTGTAAGCCACCGGCTGCAGTCATTAGATCAACCATTAGGCAGATGACTGCCATGGCTGAGCAGGCAGCGATTGGGAACAGGCAAACTGGTAGTTGGATTACAAAGCGAGTCGCGGCCTGATGGGACAGCTGCATGTGTCGGATGCTTAGGGGGTTTTGTGAGATATGTGGCGGAGGATGATGTTGGTAGTAACACATGTGAGATATTGATTGAATGTCCTGGTGTAAAAGAAGAATGTCAATAGATGGCTCACAAAGGTGCCGTACCTGTGTCTGGATTGACCGCCCACGCCGCTCTCTCCCAAAACAGTGACGGAAAGGCGGAACTCAGAATGACTTTGGTACCTAGTTTCCATAAAACGAGCATGAGAGTTGTTGAGCGCGTCGAGTATGTATTAGCCCTCAAATTGAATGAAATTCCTAACCTTGGATTTCTTGATGAGAGCGGTCTGCCGGCGAAGGCTTGTGATCTTCGAATGCCCGAAGCAATGGGACCCAACTTGTTGCTGAAGGAGGCAAGGAAACAGCAAGGACACATACAGTCACCCAAATGGAAACGGCCCGGAGGAAAGAACAAATGGAGAGAAGCGTACTTGCCGTCGCCCATTGAAAGGGGACCCCGCTATGACGAGACAGCGCCGCACGTGACCCTTGCCTAGCCCAATCGTGCCTACCCGACTTCGTTGGCCTGCCTGACTGAATTTTTCGCTTAAGAAGTACGGCTTCCTTGCAAGCTCCCCCGCCATCCTCAAAAACATAACCCCCCCTAAAGTCGATCAGTCGGTGACGATTTCCACACGTCGAAAAGTTTACAGCCCACTACCCATCCCTCTCTCCGGTACGAATTCATCTACTCCGCGCCCTTGCTGACGCTGGTTTTTGCTTTCACGTCAACAAACCTCTCCATCTGTTTGCTTTCTTCGCTTTGCGCCAGCTGCTAACCTCGCGATCAGCCCCGCTTGTTTACAATTAACTCGCACCGAACCGATTCCTTCACCGATCGCAAACATGGCCGAAACTCAGACTCCTACCTTCAAGCTCGTCCTTGTCGGTGATGGCGGTACCGGAAAGGTGAATCTAATACTCCCTCGTCCCCCATGGCCCTTATCGAGGTTGCGCCCGACAACAGCGTTTGCCCTTTTCGCAAACATCGACCCCTCGACTTGAGCCGAAGGCACTCCCTTCCGCTTCCCCCCCTCCATTTTATCGCGTTGCTAACAATGTGTAACGTTGTAGACCACCTTCGTCAAGCGTCACTTGACTGGTGAGTTCGAGAAGAAGTACATGGCCACTCTTGGTGTCGAAGTCCACCCTCTGGGCTTCAGCACGGTAAGTACCTCCCATTGGCTTGGTTCCCCTACAACATCGGTCGCCGGTCTCTAACTCAGCGCGCGCAGAACTTTGGTCAGATTCAGTTCGATGTCTGGGATACCGCCGGCCAGGAGAAGTTTGGTGGTCTCCGTGATGGTTACTACATCAACGGCCAGTGCGGTATCATCATGTTCGATGTCACCTCCCGTATCACCTACAAGAACGTCCCCAACTGGCACCGTACGTGGCACCCATTGGATTGGCATGACTCGAATCCGTATCCTTGACCCCAAACAACCAGCCCAACTAACAAGGACCATCTAGGCGATCTCGTTCGTGTTTGCGAGAACATCCCCATCGTTCTCTGCGGTAACAAGGTCGACGTGAAGGAGCGCAAGGTCAAGGCCAAGACCATTACCTTCCACCGCAAGAAGAACCTCCAGTACTACGATATCTCTGCCAAGTCCAACTACAACTTCGAGAAGCCTTTCCTCTGGCTTGCACGCAAGCTTGTCGGCAACCCCGCTTTGGTACGCTCCCGAACGATTCTCTGCACCGGTTTCTGCCTCGAAAATTTTAATGCTAATTGCTCCACAGGAATTCGTTGCTGCACCGGCTCTCGCTCCCCCCACCGCTCAGGTCGACGAGAAGCTCCTTGAGCAGTACCGCCAGGAGATGGCTGAGGCCTCCAACATGCCTCTGCCCGGTGAACTTTCCGACGATGACTTGTAAAGATAGAGACGCGGCATGGACATGATCCCAATGGGTGGAACGGTTGAAAGGACGTCGTGAACCGAAATTCTCTGGCGCAGACCGGCAACAGCTGGTCACGGTCATTATGGTAGAAGACGGCACGGCCGGTTCGTATGGTAGACTCGGAGCTGGATGGAGGGTTTTACACTTGCTGCGAGACGACCAGCATACTTTGAGTAGTTTGACGCCTTACAAGATGAACACTGAGTCCTTACATTTCCACCAAGGTGTCTCGGGTTCCGCTCGTCCTCTTCTCTACTATGCGTGTCCGTATCTCGACAGACAGCGCAATGCATTTAATTAGATAGCAATTCAATGGTTAGCTAGGAATGATCGGGCAGACAGAAAGACGGACGGACAGAGAAGGAGAGAGAAAGATCGCAAAGGCCGCCAGAGAAATCATCAATAACATGGTCTCGCCAGGAGCTACACGACTTCTCATCATATTCTAAGTGAGAGATGATAAGTGCGTTTCAGATATCTCGAAAGGTGCATAAATAGCACAAAAGTAAGTAGTACCTTGGACGGTGATGTGACGGACCCAGTTGACGAGTGAGACCGAATGAGGTACCTAAATAGAGAGTCCTGGGTCTAGACTCAGAGGTATTGCCTTGCCTTTCGGTGAGTGTAGGTGAGAGGTGGATTAGTTACCCATCCTGTGAAACTTATTCTAAAGTTGGCATTCTTGAACGTAGTGCAGAAATAAAGAACTTATGGAAGACTCACACACCTCAGTTGTTTGAGACATGATCATAGGTGTAGGGAGTAACTTGGCAGCTGAAGCTTGACTTGAGAGGAGAGCTTGAGCATTTGCACAGATGGATCCGTATTGTGGCTGCAAGCACTATTTTTGCACCAGATTTAGGCATGTCTTTTCTAGGGTCCGGGGTCGTCTCCTCTTATGGTCACCAACCTCCTCTGAATGTACACGATACTCTGCCAAAGTCAGCGCATACCCCCTGTTCGCTTCTCTAAACGCGCTTTTGGTTACTCAAGAAACAGAAGTACTAGTCTGCTAGACACCCGGGATCCAGTGACGCGTCTGGTTGTCTGTTTGTCGGGAGGTGGCTGGGTGTCAATCTCTGATAGTACGGATCTTTGGTGTCTGATGGAAGAACCGAGAGTTGCTGGCGGAATATAAGAGGACATGGATTGTAATGGGAGATTCGTTGCTGAGTGCAGCTTATGTGCCAATTGCCACACGCGTCACTGGGTCTGCTGGATTTCTGGAAAGGCAAGGTGGGCGTTTATTTGTATGCGGTGGAGGACAAGTTTTTTCCGTACTCAATCAAGTGTGTCCGTATATTGTGTCAGCCTTCAAGCACCAATTCGAATTGGCGCCATGTTCCATGGTCCCGGAGCAGACTCGGTCAGATGCGGCAGGGTGGGCACACGGATGAGGGATGGTCTGGGGTTGAACACCTACCACGCATCAGCGACGACTAGTTGTCTTTCGCGTCTTACTGCCAACGGAAGCATAGTATCGAATTCAGGTCGAACCGGGGCGTTTCGCACGCGCGTGATGGCACGTAGAAATGACGAAGAGCAATATCTCGGAATGCAGCAAATGACCAATCTCTACTTCGCTTTTCTGGATACAATTTACAACTGTGACCATATGACCTTGTATCCGGTATCTCGCGAACAGCTTTTATATGCATACGCGCGTGATTCGTCAGGCGAGGCACTAGACCAAAAGTACGCAAACTCCAGAAAATGGGGAGAATTAAGAGTGGAGGTAAGATGAGAGAGCGAGGGGACTTAGGGATGTCCATCGGGCAGCTCGTCAACGGTAACACCAGCAAGGTTCGATGCGTACTTGTAATTTTCATGCGGACCGCAAATGATTAAGGTGTTATTAGGGTCTGTCTTCAATCTTGTTGGTGTATGTAGCCCCTGGTGATGGAAAGTAGAGTGTTTTTGTTTTATTTCCCAATTGAAAACAGACGCGCGACGTGACTGGTCCGAGCCTTTTATGCGTACCTAGGCTATTCGTATCTCACCTTACCTTATGCCACTAAATTGCAGAAGCTAGGTGCCTACATTGAGCGCGTAAACTTGGGCTAAAGTCAGCAAGGAACAACAGACCCTGGGGTTCGTCAACATGAAGACATGTGCTAAAGTACCTACGTGCATGTGATGGTTATGCCTTGCGAACGACATTGTTTTATTCAGATGAATATGAACTTGGACTGACTTGCAGACTGTCTGCGCCGCATTCGTCCACCCATGGAAGATGGGGCCTATGAAATGTGAATAGAAGCATACCAGACCTGATGCTCATGCGCAAACATTGTTGCAAGGTAGAGCACATAAAAACAGACGTGGAGGTAACTTGGTGGGTCTGCGGATCCGTGCCGCGATCGCGCTGTTGTGCGGTACCTGACCTGGTAGGCTTAGTGGTACTGTACTCCGTGGATGATTATCACTTGCTACATACTTCACATCACACTTACGACCAAATCCAATGTGTATTACGCGTCAGTGTGAGTTTCCTTGAATCTACAGCGAAATTCATCCTCGTTTTCAAATACGCTTACTCGATGTCAATTTCAGAAAAGCTTTTATAGCACTGCACTAAGCCGGTATTCAGACCAAGCCCAGTACCAGTACCTACGGTACCCTGACCGGGTATCTGCAACTCCACTATCCACGTCCCTAGCGTGTAAGTGCCTTTCCCTAGTTGGGGTTCTCAGACGCGCCGTGTTCAACACCAAAACCCATGTGGGAGGCACCGCTACTCACCTGGACCGTACCTGACCTTAATTGCGACGAATAACCGCGCCTCGTGTGTCTCGACACTCTCGCTTCCCCACCTCGTCCGTTCCTGGGAACCTCTCTTCGTCATTCTTCCTCTTTACTTTACTCTCCTCCCAACTTTGTTTTGCCTGCAGTCCTACGATTATCTTCAATTCGCTTTATTCTCACGCCTGTCCCGTGTCTCGCCCAACCTTTCTTCAGTGCACGCTCGCTACTATCGCCCCCGGCTCGCGACTCCTCGTTCAATTGTGTCGACCCCGGATCATGACTGTCGTTTACTACTCATAGCTTCAACCGCCGCCATGTCTGTCTCCGACATCTCCTCTCAAGCCTTGGTTGGAGCTCCGCCGTCCTCTTCTTCCCCGTCTCCACGCGAATCCTCCTTGCGGAAAGATCAACCGGCGCAGACGCCTACGAGACAGCCTGTTGCAACTGGGACAGAAACTCCCGACTTCGCGCCATCTTCGTCTGTCAAGACAGAATTGTCAAACCCCGACTCGGAGCGTCACCCGAAAGGAAAGAGGAAGAGAACTGCGTATGTCGTTGTGTTTGGTCCCAATTGCTACGCGTTCTTGTGCTGTGGCCACTGACTCTCGTTTGACTTATGTAGCGCCAAAGACAAGTCGATACTTGAGGCTGCCTATGTTGCGAACCCGAAACCAGACAAGGCAGCGCGCCTAGACATTGTGAAGCGCGTCTCTCTCAACGAAAAGGAGGTTCAGGTATTTGCATAATTTTGCCGGTACGACAACGGTCGCGCTTAGTGCTGATTGCGGGCGTGTAGATATGGTTCCAAAATCGTCGCCAAAATGACAGGCGCAAGTCGCGGCCCCTCTCCGCCCAGGAGATTGCTGCTCTCCGATACGGTGGTATGCAAATACTCTCTTCGGACCCAGTAGCCTACACCTCTTCCCTGCCGGAAGAGAAAGCATCGCCAGTGGTAGAAACAGCTCCCGTCAACGCTGTCATGCCTGCGGAGACTCCGGTCAAGGCTATACGCCTGCGAGAAGACGAGGCCGATGAGCAGCCTCAACACGCAACACCGTTCATTCTCAGTGGCGGCCCTGAGGCGACGGCTTTGGAGACGCCATTATCCCAAGTCACGGCTTCCTCGTCTCAGCCTCACTCAACAGGGTCATTCTCCTTTTCGAACTCTGTTGGGTTCTTCACATCATCTCATTGGAACCCAGCAAGTGCCTTTTCAACCCCTTCAACGCTCAACCGCAGCGTTGACGAAACCCCCAAGTATGTCCCGCTCCATTGATTGTCAGTCGCATTTGTGCTAATATATTATGCAGATCCGATCTATGTACACCTGCGTCTTGCTCACCGCCTGCACATGGATCGCAAACCCTGCCCTCTCCTCAATCATCGCAACAGTCACAGGTGCGACTGTCGCTTTCACTCGAAGGCAAAGCTGAGCTTGTCTCTAATGAGAACTCGCCCCCTCGCTTTCAGCCTACGAAGCTATTCTCGGACTTGGCAGCCTTACCTCAGCCCAGAATAGCTCGACCGCTCCAGCGCAGTCACAGTGCCCTCCCTAGCGTGACTCTACCACCCATAACAGCCCTCACTGACTCGCTGCCACCGGCACTGGGACGAGGCAGATCTCGTGATGCTCACGCATGGGAGCTGTGCTGTGACGCTGATACTCGTGACGAGCTCACGACGCAAGCTGAAGACGAGTCTAATGGCTCTGCTGTCGCTGCCATCAGCCTCCTCCGCTCTACCAGCGGCGTGCTTCAAAACAACAGCTCCAAACGGAACTGTCCTGCAAGCAGGCCGGCTTCTCGGCCTCAACAGGCTAAGAAGCCTAAGCTTTGTCGCACATCTTCAAGCATGGCTAGAATGCAAACATCACTCGCTGACGGCGAGGAGTCCGTGTCTCAACCCAGTGAAGAGAAAAGCCTAGGTGATAAGGTCAAGGTGGACATGCTGATATCTCCATCCGGTGATTCTGATAAGGAGAATTGGATACCCGAGGACGAAGGCAACATGCGTCGGTTGCCGCCAATGAATGACCGAAGACCCTTGCCGGCTACCGTTGACGGCAAAAACAATGCGAGACGAACAGGTCGTACTTTACAGGACCATCCTGGGCCTGCTATATTCAGCAGTAGCCGCGCCAGAACGATGCCCGCTATGGGACGCCGAGGATCCGGAAAATATGTCACCATATTCGAGGATGGGCATGGCTCAAGCTCACCTACGACAAAGGGCACGGACGAGGTGGAGAGCTTCATGCGCGGCGGCGATGTAAGCCCGAGCAAGAAGGGCGACATGGATTGCATCGCAGGTCTGTTGTCTCTTAGCCAAGGTGCCTGGAGATAGAAACTTGGCGTGGAGACGGGCGGCTTCACATCCTTGTCGTGAGTAATCCGCGCCAAAAGTGAGTGTCTTTGTTGTACGCCCCCTTTTGGACACTCAGTCGGCTCCGTGGTAGAAACGGATAGATGCAAGTCCAACAACATGGGCAGCAGCCCCCTCGTCAAGCGAGTTGCGACACAGAGAGGCACGGCAAGCAGGGGCTGAGGGCCCGGCAAATTCAGAGACGGATGCGCCGGTCATGCTATCTATCGCTTGCGGAAGTTTTATACCTGTGTCGTCTCCTGCAGGATCCACGACCGACATGATGGAACCTGGCTCTCGCCCTCAGATGTCGCATTGCGTATGGGTTGAAAGAGTACCGTCTTTATCCTCATTTTTGGTGTTGTGTTGGGGCTTGGAATTACAACAAGCAAATGGCGTCTTGGGATTTGGTAGTAGATATGACTCTGCAAAGTCGGTTGTACGTGTGCAATGTTTATGTTCTGGCCAAGCCTGTAAGGCGCCACGGCGAAACAAGTCATAAAAAGAGCAATGAGTAAAAAAAACTAACAACAATACTGATTAATTAGTTGTCTGTGTTGCTCTGCGTGAACAAGAACGTCAATCAAGGTGCCATCATCTTCTTGTTGTCTTGCTAGATTAAGACGGACTCTCAATGCTCTCACATGATAACCCGGATGTTTGTGCTCACCTAGAAACAGCCCTCATGTTCACTAATGCAGAATTCAAAATTACATACGCTCTTTGTTGGGAGGATTAGATGGAAATAGGTGCCTTCGAGTCAGGCACAGGGCCAGAGTAATCTAGGTTCATATTTGTGGCAAAAGCTGTTTGGCATGTAACCACACCTGCTAGTCGGATCTACCACCAACTGCAGATGCTGGTGAGATTTCGATCTCACTTTCTTTGTTTCTATTCCTCTTTTGCTCGCTCTCTCTCTCTCTCTCCCCCCATCTCTCTCGGCTATGTATCCGTGTGTCGCACGAGGATCGACATCCTCTTGCCCTCTCTCCTTTCAGGTTGAGAGGAGGGCGAATGTATTGGCCTTCGTACCCGACAGCTACCCCATACTAGTATATACCGTGCCAACCCCAATGCCAGTATTATCTCCTTCGTCTTCTGATGATGTTAGAGAACACTGCTCATGCGAGCATGTCAGGTCTCAGTCTTTCCATCCACGCACACACAACAGTGTACGTCTCATGCTTTCCTGTCTTTCTTATGCCTTGCCAAATCGCTCAAGTCTATGAAACAAACAAATAAAAGATGCCAAAGCATCTCAGTCTAGCCCGCCCTCCTCGCTAGCAGGGTGAAATGCGGAGATGTAGTGTAGAACAGTCGAACAGAACAGAGCGTGCTACTTTGCGTAGCCGAGCCGCCTGTTTTGTGATTGTGAAGAAAGTTGGGAATCATGATGCTCTGTCTCTAACGAATAAACAAACGGCCGTTAATCACATGCCCAGCAGACTCATCTGCCTTCTCAAGGGACTCGCGCTGATGCTCCCGTCCTCGCTAGCGTAGCAGGCCGAGTCGGTGTCAATGTCCCACTCCGGATCATCATCCTTACCGTCCTCAGACGGGCAGAGGCTGCCGCCAGCAGAGGGGTCGAAGCCCTTCTGCGTTGCGGCGCGCGTGTTCCAGCGAAGAGTGCGGGAAACACTGTCGAACCACTCCGTCTGAGTTCGGACAACTGTGGGGAATGGATATTGTGAGGCAGTGATGGTAACGTAGTCTCCTTGCTTCAGCTCGACACGACCCTTGCCATCAAAGGCGCAGTACGCCGTAGCGCGGGAATTACGCGGCACCGACACGCGGAGGAGCATCGTGTCAGAGAGAACCATCGGGCGGAATGAGAGCGTATGCGGGCAGATGGGTGTCAGAAGAATAGCCGGGATGTCGGGGTGTACCAAGGAACCTCCGGCCGAAAGAGAATAAGCAGTTGAACCGGTCGGAGTTGAGAAAATACAGCCATCGGCCTGCACCACAGTGAGGAGCTCGTCATCGCCGTAAAGTTCCAAGTTCGAAACATACGGGGACGGGCCGCGGTCGATGACAAGTTCGTTCAGAACCTCGAACTGCTCTCCTTCCTCCGCCTCCTGGCCAAGAGTGCCGTCACGGTAGACGGTGCAGGTGAAGCGCATGCGCAAGTTGACACGCATGCCCTCGTCACCCATGATCCGGTCCAGGTGCTGCGTATACTTTTCGAACTCGAAGCTCGTCAGGAAGCCGAGACTGCCCAGGCTGAAGGACAGGACGGGGGGCACGATGCGCTGGAATAGCCATGAAGTGAAGAGAACGGTTCCGTCACCGCCGAGGGTGAGAACTAGGTCGAACTTCTCAGGTTGGCTCCAGCACAGATCAGGTGTCCAGTACTTGAGCATATCCTGGTACGCAGAGTTCTCTGCGACAATGCCACTGGCATCGAAGCGTCGAGAGTTGCGGAGCTTGGCGTCCACATAAACGTTGACGCCAACATTGGCACCATACCTCGGAGTGCGAAGCAACCAGGTAGCGAGCTCGCGGGTTAAGTAGACGAGCTGGTTATCGCGAGCTTTGGTGACAATCATGACATTGCGAACAGCGCGCTTGATGGGGCGACGTTGCAACTGCTTGGAGACCTCGCGTACGCCGGTGGCTGTCTGTACGAGCCTAGAGTGGGACATGCAGTCGTCATTCTTGATCTCCTCGAGAACCTTATCGATGTTGACGGCATCATCGAATCGGTTGTGATAGAAGCAAGGGGACTGCAAGGAGGGCAGGGCCGTGGTGGGGGTCATGCTCCGGTTGGCCAGCTCGTTCAAGGCGTCGGCCAGCTTCTGGGACGAAGCAGTGGCGGGGCGGTTGTCGCAACCGCCTTGTTGGGACAACATGCCGGTAAGTGAGAGGGCTTCGGGTTTATTTCTGCGAACAACCGAAGCCAAGGCTTTCATAATAGTTTGGCGGGGAACTTCGTGGGAAGGTGCGCGGCGATGGCCCTTGGAAGGATGGGCGGCAGCGCTGGCGTTGGCGTTGGTGGACTTGGACAGAGGAGGCGGGAGCAGCTCGGGATAGGCGGCGGTAGAGGTTATTGATAGGGAGCTTCTTCTTATCGAGGACGAGGGGTTTTGTGTTGCAGCAGCTGTAGCAGGAAATCCGGCTTCGGCGCAAGCATAGGGTTCCTCCTCTGCTACCGGACCAGCATTGCGATGCAGTGACAGTGAGTGTGAGTGCGAGTGAAGATGGGAGACAGAGTTGGAGGTGGAGGCGGAAGAAGAGAGAGGTCGGTCGTGGACGGTGGTGGTGCTGACACTGGCACTGGAGCTTTTGGGGCGGTCGGAAAGCGAGGTTTTAACTCCATGGGGGTCGGAAGAGGGCGACGAGGACGGCAACGCGGACGGCTGGTGCTGTTGCAGTGACAATGGCGCTGGCGGCGGAAGCGGATTCGGATTACTGAGGGCGGGGTGCAGGGCGGTGGGCGAGGAGACGAAGCCCGACATGGTTAAGAATAGTGGCACTGCCGTATCTCCGCCGACGGGGTGTGGAAAGTGAGGGAGATGTGGATGAGGATCGGGGATGGGTGTGATGGATGGAGGAGCGAAGTACTCTGTACCGCGCGAACCGATCCAAGGTGAGTTGAGTTGAGGTGGGCGAGTGGCCGGAAAGTAAGCGATGGACGGCTAGGTGGTAATTAATTGTCGCAAAAAATAATGCAGCAGCAGTGACGAAAGAGTAATAATAGCACCTTCCGGGGGCCTGGGCTGCACGGCAGAAAACCTAGGTACCTTTCTCTGTGAGGTAATGTGGTGCAAGGCACGGGTACCGTAAGGTAGGTACTCCTGACTTGGTAGGCGAACCGTGGAAGCGGGCAGGGGGTCGGGTGGTGGCAGGGACCTGTTCTCCGCTAAGGCCGAGCGAAGTTCGAACACCAAGCGGTAATAGCAGACACAACTGACTACTGGCGAACCGAGAAGTAGCAAGTACCCAAGTACTGTCCCTACTGCAACGTGGAGACCACACACAAAAGGAGGTCAACGAAGCAACTTTCTAGACTCCAAGGAAATGGAACCTGGGAGTCAACAACCGGACCTTACGGACCACCGACGCCGATGGGTCTCGATCAAGTACTGATGGGCGTTGTTGCCGTGTAGATCCTTGTGTTAGGCCGCGATTGAACGACCTTTGCTTGTGTGATGGAACGTGTATCCGTACTGGACGAGTTTACCGCAAACTCGTACAAGTGTTCAGAACGTCTCTAATGTCGGGTGGTACACAGATTCAGAACAGTGTCCAAATGGAGATAGTCGGTTCTTTCGCAAGCTTGGTAACCTGGCAACCTTACTGAGAACGGCAGTCGTAACTCTAGGCTCTATGCTCAGAGAATCTGTCTGTCTGTCTTCTTTTGTTCTGAAGCGCACCCTCCAGAGATGCAGGTCGATGTGCAGGTAAGCTGGACGCTTCCTGCAGAGTTGTGACTCGGGTGTGACGGGACCTCGGATGGAACGAATGACGCTAAATTGTGTCGAATTGCCGCCTCGGGACGGATAACTAAACCAGGCTGATGACTGCTGATTTGTCTGACAATGTCGCAGTCGGGTGTGACGACTAACTAGAACCTGAGCGATGAACTACTGGTCTGGCAGGTCGGTTCTTGGTAGTCCGGATGGGGCGTCTTGGAGGTTGAGGATGATGAGAGCTGAGCCGAGTCGAAAGTGTGATACCGAAGGCGATCGAATAGGAAACGATGAAAAGCCAGCAGCCGCAACAAGGTAATTAAGTGAAAAGGGGTATGATTGCAATGCAGTGCACACACAAGGTATCTGATGCAAAGACGAGGCGAGACGATGCAGGCAAGTAAAGAATTATGAACAATGCCCCAAGAGACGTAGCGGCCGAGGTAATTGCTAGAACTACCGGAGCTCTGCTTCGAAAGGAACCAGGGTGGGGAGAGGAGGAGGAGGTTGTGGCGGTAGAGAAGGAGAAGGAAGAAGAAGAAGAAGGAGAAGAAGAAGAGCGATAAACCAAACGAAGACGAAATAAGAGAGTGACCAGACTGACTGACAAGAGAACAGAGGGGAGGCCAGTTCAAGATTCGTCCCAGCAGTGCAGGAGCTTTAATATTCTAGGTCACAATAGACATTCCTCCCCTCTCCTCCCCTTACCTACCCCCTTCCCCCTCCATTCCTATTGTTTTCAGTCTGATGTCGATCGAATCGAGCAGCAGGATGGATGTGATGCGACAAAGGGCGCTCCCGCCATAACGCCCAAGCTCAAGCACCCTGTTCTGCTACTTTGCTCTGGGCTGAGGATGATCCACTTGACTTTTCTTCACGAGGTATCCCTACTCCGTCTTCAGGTGGTCTAAGGTACGGATATCAAGAAGCCAATCTTCTGTTCCCTCTCGGTACCTGTGCCCCCCAATCCTGATCCATAACCTATTACCTTGTTCTTCTCTTCGCCCTGGCCATGTTGTTGGACTGTATCCGTTCGAAGTTACGAACTACGAATACCCTGCTCCTCCTTAGCTACATCCATGACCCATATCCTTAACCGTGTTACTATCATCTTTGGCAGCCTCCAAACTTCAAAGGTTCAGCACCCGCAGTACGCGCCTGCCATGTTGCATGCATCATCCTGCTGCCAGGAGGCCGGACAATCGGTGGCCTGGGGCACAGATACGTATCTACGGACCCTATCCGATAGTGGCTTGGTGTATCCGTAGTCGTAACTAATGTAGGCACGTTACGATGCATCCATATGCTACGGATACACGTGTAGACCCAGAGATAGGACTGGTTGCTCAAAAAGATCGGGCTTGTGATGAAGTCAACGGGTGTAAGAGCCAGCCAGCGAAAGGATGCAAAGCAAGCAAGGTGCGGCGAATGGTAAAACGTCGATACGTACTCCCCGTCCATATCCCTAGCGGTCCCCAGTCAAACGTCTCTTCCTCTAACCTCTTCTGCAAAGCCAGGTTCTATGGAGGGCAAGGGAGACCAACAAGGGGCGGCATGACATTGGCAGACCCCCCTGGTGGGCCGGGAACGTCTTCTGGTCCCCAGTCCCCAGCCAATGCAGGCCCGTTGGATCGTGGTGCGCCAATACCGAGAGGGCTACCTGCTGTACAGAGACGGATACCTATAGCCCGTATTGCGTACATACGTCTGGTCCATGGATAGGCAGTAGAGCAGGTACCTTACCTTACACTACTGTACTGTCTACCTTTCCGGCGCCCTGGAGCCAGATGCTGCCGTGTCTTGACAGGCACGCCGCACGCCGCACGCCGCACCTCACGCACAGCATCCCCTTTTGCAGCTGCGGGCAACGTCCAGGAGAGGCAACAGGAGACGGGACACCAAGTGTATCGTGTACCCGCTCGGGTCGCCACAAATGTCGCACTTGTGACGGTACCGAATACTCTGCAACTCGAGCCTGTGTTCCTTTAGTCAACGGACGAGACGAGAGAGGCCCTTCTCTCTTTACCGATTGTTGTTGTTATTGTTGTTACCCTTGGTCTGCTATGATCAGCTCTTGTCTGGACTTTTTGATCCTATCTGTTGTACACGTGTAGTAGCATCGATGATCACCCACCGCGTGTAAGAAAGACCGGGCAGTCCGACATCCAGCCATCGAGTCGCCTCAGATCTGTGCGCGACTCTATCTGTCGGAGGCGTTTGACTGGAGCTGTCCACTTTCTGTTACGATAATGAGAAGAATCAACACCATAGGCCAGACAACGGGCAACGTGGAACTCTCTCCAACAAGCGGTAACAATAGCAAGCGCTCGCTGGATCCAATGACAGGAGCAGTTCATGCGGTCACGATACTGGGGCAGCATGGGAAGCATGCCCGTACGGTAGTGCGACAGCCACAATAGATGGTCCGGTGGCTATTGTGATGACACCAAAAACCGTGGCTATCGACTGGACAGAGGCTAGGTATCCGCGCAATGCGTAGGAATCAAAGAGCCATGCAGCTTCAATCTGGTCTCTGCTCTGCCCTGATCAACCGGTGCTTGTGCAGTCTCACTCTTTTGTCTGGGACACCACTAGGCCGGGGTGGTCGGAGGCGAAACAACGATTCTGTCCGTTTCCCGTCGTCTCAAATGACAAGTCTTTCCCCATATCCCATACCACCGTACACAAATTCTGGCGGCAACAACTCTTCTGACTCTCTCCTGAATCACTCGTTTGTAGTCGAGTAAGGTACGGCATGCGAGATTTCTTTCATGTGCGTGTGCATGTGTGCATGTGTGTGTGTGTGTGTGTATCCGCCGCCGGGTCTGGCCTCAACTTTCCGCTGGAAGACGCAGGCCGCAACTTGGCCTGTGTCCTGTTCCTGAGCGAGGGGCAAATTCTAGGTAGATCCTCTTCCAGTGATGGACTGCATTATGCCAGTGTGTTTCGAGGACGTGAGCCTTGACTCTCTGCTGCTGCTCGGCTTGGGCGGTCCTAGGCTTCCCGAGACGGCAACAGTGATCCACCGATGACAGCGAGATATGTCGAGGAAGAGAGGAAGCAAGGGTCATTGGTAGGTAGGTGTGTGTGTGATATCTGCAGATCGAGGCTGTCGTCCGAGGTAGCCCGATTGCTGCTGGACGGCTCGATTACCTTTGGGGAGCGCCGAGACATCCAATAGCTGAAAGGGCGGGAGAAGATCATGGCTTGACAGACTCCAGAAAGAAAACCTTTTTGCAGATCTGGAGCGTCCCATCCGGTAGTACGACAACCGCCAGCGAGGTGAGTGAGTGAAGTGGGGGATGCAACGACAAGAATCGGTCAGTTGTACATAAGCAGAACCGATAGCCAAGACTTTCCTCGGAACGAACCTTACCTCGAGATGTCTTAGCCAAGGTGACATTGGACCAGCACTGATGTGCTCAACAAATAGTAGAGGTCCTAGGTTATATCAGATAATCAGAGACATGTCAGATGGAGCTTGCCGTCAGTTGTCTGTGGGAACCTGGAGAGTATACGAATGAGGGCTGTGCTGCTTTCGACAACAATCCACCTCCCGTACTGCTGTTGTTGCAAAATCCCATGTTCCAAGGTCGTCGCCGTTGTTCTTCTTGTTGTTGTTATCATCAGCGTTGCATGGAGAAGGAAGGAGGAGTCGAGCTGGTTTGGACTTAATGCGGATCAAACACCGCCCGCTTTTTGGCCCGCCACGGACTAGGTGAGCTACCTAAGGTACTTCACCACATTACGCTTCCTACCTTATTTCTTTGCATGTACATGAACCTCCTTGACTGGCGGTTACCCGGCCTATGTTACTGGATAACACGTGCGTTTGGTACACCCCAAAACTCTGTTATCACACCATGTAGAGAAAATTCCTCCCTGATAAGTCAAAGTATCTCTACCTTTGCCTTCCTGGCACGACGTTCTAGAAGCTCTGCGGCGCTGCCTTCGCCCAAACTCCTAAGCGGAACAGCGGTCACAGGCCCGGATCCACTGAGCTGGAACACATGCATACGCAACGATAAAACTCGCTCCTTTTGCTTACTGGAGGCCAATGAAGATGCAAGACAAGAGTCCAAGATCATGCCTTTGAGCTTCTGCAAATAAGGCAGTTCATAGGAGGAAAGTAGAGCTGCTCCGGGAGATGGGACGTGAATATAACCGCATTCCGCCCCTACTTACATACCAACATCAATTATGCTTAAACTGGCCCGAAGCCACCTCGAGCAAAATCAATCTAATACCATGCCGCTTCATGTGGTGTACCTAACTGCGGCTCTTGGCGGCTACAACTCATTGGTCACCTCATTTCATACCCAGATTACGGAGTATTGCGTGAATGATACTTTGGCGTCGCCATCTCAGGCACGAAGGGACTCGATAAACCTGGGAGATCTTCTCGGGATAACAGAATTTCTACTAAGGGTATCTGAAGGCCTGGGCATCTAAGGTAGCTTGCGCCAGGTAAAACAGGAGAGACTCCACCCACGGTAAAATGACACCATTTTCCAGTGCCGACCGATGCAGAAAGGCAAGACACCTAATCCTCCCTCCCACGACAGACGGCCACGGAGCCGTTTCCAGTTTCCTCCGCAGGCGGGAGAGCGTCAAAGTTAACACCGTGACGGGAGACGTCCTGGTCAGAAACACCCGGTAGCTCCTAACCTTGGGGCCTGTCATTGTCGCAGGTTTCTCCGTGCCCCTGCCCGCTTCAGGACCCCTGAGATTGAGCTGAAACACCGCCTCACGCCGCATTTTCATCAACCTTCAAACAGGCCAAACAACGCCGTCGAGAGCAACCAACCCACTTTCCTGGACTTTGATATGCGACCTGATCCAGGTACGAGGTACTTTTCCAACATCGGCCGCAGGATAGCTTTCTGGCCCTTGTCTTCCGTGTCATGTTGCTACTGCTTCTGAATTTTGTGATAAGTGATAGCCTGTGAAGAGGCCCATTGCCGAGCCGGTTCCCGGCTCCCAGCTTCAACACTGTTTCCAGGTGCCGTCGTAGTTGCTCTCCCCCTGATTAAACCTCATGATAATTCGTCTTGCCACACCATCGGCCGTCTCGTTTCGACACTCCCCAGTCTGTCGTTCTCACCGTTGATAACTGAGTGAACCAATCCAGACCATCCCTTTTGGAACAAGGGCGTGATCCCCGATGCCTAGACGTCGATGCCGCGCGTTCTTCGTTGGTATCATGCTTTTCATCATCGACTGCATTAGACCAGTATCGATATCTCTCCTTCACTAGAACTCCTGAATAAGGCATCACCCGCGCCTGGGTTGTTGCTCGGCGGTTCCAAGACCCTGTATACTTCGATTGATGGGCAGATTTTACGCTGTCTTCGATTCCATGACGGTTCGGATGAACTGCTGCATGTCGGTCGCGTCTTGGCTGTCGTCGTCCATGGCCGCACCTAGCTCCGCTTGACGGATCTGGCTGCACACTGATTGACCTTTATTGATCACTTCATCCCAATCGGCCATAGAGAAAGTCCCCTCACTCTCCAACAACAGAAGGTCGTTCTGGGACGTGAAGATGACAACGTGGAGCGATTTTGACTGGTCAATCTCCAGAGGAGACGGGTCAACGATGATCTTATCACCATTCTCGACGACGGCCAATGTGGCACATGTGGCAATAGCCTTCAAAGGCACAGCAGCCGATAGCAAAGCCAAGATGGCACTGTGAAAGAGAGCCGGTAGCAGAGGCAGACTCTTTAATAAAGTAGGATAGTCAGCAGCTTTACTCCATATGTGACATCAGGCGGTGGCTTTGAGATATCTGAGATGGGCTTCTTCACTTACAGACTGAGCTTGTACTACTTTGCTGTTTGCATAGTCATTCTGCGGCGTCTCGGTTACCTGAAGCGTGACCTGAATGAGACATCGAGGGAAGTTTTTCACGGGAATCAGCTGGCGAAGAGCTGACCGCAAAATGTTCTCGAGCTGGCGTTCTCCAGTACCTAAATAGTCGTCACGATTGTGAGCAAAATTGACCACACGGT